AAGTCTGACAGAGTAGAACCATCCTCTGTTCTTTCATTAGAAGATCAGGCAGTTGAAAAAGACGATCAGGCAGTAGAAGTTGATATTTCTGAAGAGCAGAAATTGTCAGAAGGGGTGCCAGAGGGAGATGCTCATGATGGGCCTCAGACTGAGGTTGAAACATCCGGTACTTTGCAGGCAGAGGACACTGAGGTTACAATAAAAGTAGAGGTGCAAGACATCAGCACTGAAGAGAAGGAGGATGAGGATAAGTTGGACAGAGTTGAACTCACTTCTGTTGATGTATCAGCAGTTGAAACATTTGAGACAGTAACATCTGCAGACTTTGTGCTACCTGAGCAAGAGGCTAAATATCATGAAGTTGATCAGCCTGATGATATTTTGAAAGATGTAATTCATGATGTCCCCAAGATTCTTGATGCAACCTGTGATAGTGCAGAGGCTGAGGAAATTGCAGTTGAGATAAGGGTTGAAGTTGAAGAAAGCAGCGCTGAACAGAAGAAGGATGAGATTGATACAGTGGAGCCTGTCTGTTCTGATGTATTAGAGGATGAATCAATTGTAACTGAACTTTGTGTAGAGGTGGTTCAACCTGCACAAGACGTTGATCAAAAGCAAAAAGAGACAGCAGATGTGTCAGAAGGAGATACTCATGATATAACACAGACTCAGATTGAAACATCTGATACTGGTGAGGCAGTGGAACCTACAATTAACATAAGAGTAGAAGTGCAAGAAATCAGCCCCGAGAAACAGGAAGGTGAGTCCCAGATAGATTCTGTGGAACCCTCCTCCCTTGATGTATTGGAAGATCACGCAGTAAAAAAGCCTGTTTCTGTAGAAGCTGGCATATCTAAAGAAGACATCCAGGGGCCACAGCAGGAAGACACCATTGATGCATCAGCAGAAGATGTTGATGTTACATCCAAAACCCCAGATGAATCAGAAATATGTGTTGAAAAATCAGCTAAGCCAAGCATCGACACAGTACATATAAGTTTCCTTGGCCAAATCTTGACAAAAGCAAAATATTTGACTTCTGCTGTTGTTGGGCGAGATGGGATTGCTGGTGACGTGATCTTGGTAGAGGTTGAGGACGACTTGGATGAGCCCCACAAGGATGTGGACTTTGATAAACTTGCAGAAACCCAAGACAAAACTACAACTTGTGTGGAAGCCTCTGTGGAAGCTGTCCTTCCTGAACAGGAGATTGAGGATCAAAAACTGGAAAAGCCTGCTGATTGTTCAAAAGAAAAAATTGATGAGGTCCCTCAAACATTTGATGACATTTTTGATGGTCCTGAGATTCAGGCAACTGCAGCAAAGATCATAGTAGAAGTGCAAGAAATCAGCACCGAAAAGCAGGATGATGTGGATAAGTTTGACAGGGTAGAACCATCCTCTGTTTTTTCATTAGAAGATCAGGCAGTTGAAAAAGATGATCAGGCAGTAGAGGTCGGGTTTTTTGAGCAAGACATCGAGAATAAAGAACAGAAATTGTCAGTAGTGGTGCCAGAGGATGATCCGGTGGCTGACATAGAGAAGATAAATGTCCTGGGCACAATATCGTCAGGATCTTTAGGCTTAACAGCTGCCGTTGTTGATGTTGGAAAGGCTGCAGCTGAAATCATCACTGCAGATGACTTAAATGAGTTAAAGGATGATGAAATCATTCTTGCCATTAAAGAAGATCAAAACAAAGTACAAAATGAAACCCACGTTGAAGTTGAATGCTATACAAGAAGTATAGACATGGCCACAATAGATGCTAGTATTGATGAGCTCACTGTTGACACAGCAGAAATACAACAAATCACTAAAGAAAATCAAGAGGAAATGGTTGAAATTAACTCAATGCAATCTAACGTCAATGAACATGGACAACAGCATTTCTTTGGCATTTCAACAGAAACGGTTCTTGGTGGATCTAGAACTGTGGATATTACATCTATTAGTGTGACTAAAGAGGTCCCAAGTTATGTTCCCTGTGAGCACACGGAAACAACATATCAATTTGAAACTCAAAAAGAAAGAGAGGTATCTTTAAGTGCTGAGTCTGAATCCTTTGATGATTTATCAGCAGAGCCACATGGGATTAAACCCTCTTCAGAAATCATTGAATCTCAAGAAGTTAACAAAACCCCTGTACAAATACTTGACAAACCTTCAAAAGGCGTCCATGTTACCCCCCTGACTTTGGAAGGAGCATCTGTTGGATTGGAGTCTGAGGATACTTCAGACTACTTTGAATCACCCTGTGTTCCTGTGTTTGACTCAGTAAAATCATCTTTTGTGGATGTATCAGAAGCTCACCCAGAGGAGGAAACTGTTCTTGCAAAAGTTAGTTTGTCTGAGCAATACATCAAATTTCAAGAAGCAAAAGAACCTGTAGGTGTTTTAAAAGTGGAAGTCTGCGATGTACTTCAGGCCACTCATGACATCAGTGTTAGTGCAGATACTAAACCAGTGCCAAACATTTGTGTAAAAACACATGACAATAGGGATCAAATTGAACTTGTGGAACAATCCATTGTATCAGGAGTTCAGCCCATTGAGATTGAATCAACAAAGCCTCTTGTTCTAGCTGACTCAAATACTCACACAGAGCAGACAAATGTTCTGGGTACAGTATGGTCAGGAGCGAAAGGGTTGACCTCTGCTGTTGTCCAGATTGTAAAGTCTACTGCAGAGATGATGACTGCTGATGACTTGGACAGTCCATTGGAGGAAGAACAAAAACTGGAAATGGCTCAAAGAACTGCACAGTGTGAAGACCTTGAAAACATCCCAACAGTGGAAGAACAAAAACTGGAAATGGTTCAAAGAACTGCACAGTGTGAAGACCTTCCAAAAAGCAATTACGAGACAGTTGATGTCTTCTGTCCTGTTGATACAAAAGGAAGACATCAGGAGAGCTACGAAAAGAAAGAAGATGCATTCCATCATGACTCTACTGGACTTCCCACTGTAGACCTGTCAGCTTCGCAGTCAAATGAAATAGTTGCTCTTGAGAAATTTCCCTTAATTGAACAAGTAACTGAACAGATCTGTAAGGGTCAGGAAGCAAAAGAAATCCAAACTGAAGTTTCTGCAGAAGGTATTCCAGGTCAAACTGAAAATGTAATTAGTGTAGAGACTGAGGAGACCACTGTGAAAATGGTATTAAAACTCCAAGAAATCCACACAGAAACACAAGAAGACTTGTTTCAAAGTGCCACCACTAATCAATTCTCAACTGATTCATCAGCAGATCGGGCTATTGGATTATCTACAGAATCTAAGGTTTCTGAGAAGGTTTGGAAGGATGATGTTCTGGACAATGTTGAAATGTCATCAGAAGTTCACAATGCACCACAATCCCATGATAAAACATTCAGCCCCCAGGAGGCTAAGGCAGTCATAATCAAGCTCAAAACAAAACTGCAAGAAATAAGCATTGAAAACCAAGTGTATGCTGAGGCTGGTCAAACTGACTCTACTAAATCATCAGGCAATCTTTTAGGAGACCATAATGTTGAAGTTAGTCTATCTAGGGAAGACCTTGAAGCCCATGGATTACAAAAGCCTGGTATAGTTTCAACTGAGTCAAGGACTGACACAGAACAAACAAGTGTCCTTGATATGAAAATATGGTCCAAGGCTAAAGACACTACTTCTGCTGCTGTTCAGTTAGGAAAGGCTACTGCTGGAAAGATCATGGGAGGTCATCTACATGAGTCAATAATGGATGATGTAGACATGTCAGAGATAGAAACATATGAGACTAAACAAGCACAACAAAGCAGCGATGAAACACAGGAACATGTATTTCAGATTGGCTCAACAAAACCACCTCCTACGGATTTATTAGTAGCTCTACCTGAAGACACTAAAACAACACCTGAAACATCCATACCTGAACAAAAAAACATAGAAAAACTTCAAAATCAAAAAATGCATGTCCAACAGACAGTGTCCAAAGGTTCTATTCATGATACACCTCAGACATCTGGTACTAGTGAGACCTCCATCAGGATAAGTGCAGAAGTGCAACTGATCAGTACTGAAAATCAAATGCATGGTGGTCATAATGACCCCAGTGAAGACCAAGTATTGCCAGAGCCTGATATTTGTATTGAAGATGTTCACGATGAATCTGAGCTTCTGTATGCAGAACCGCATTGTGTGGACACATCATCTGAGCTAAGGATTGACTCAGAGCAGATAGGTGTTCTGGGTACAATGTGGTCAAAAGCTAAAGATATAACCCGAGCTGTTGTTCAGCAAGGAAAAACTGCTGCTAGTATGATCACTGCTGATGATTTGAATGATCCTCTAATGGCAGATGAAAATACCAGCTTCCTGACAGACGAAGAACAAATCTTGGAAAAAAATAAGCAATATTTAGAATGTGAAGAGCTACCAGACAGCAAAGACATGGCGGAAACAGATGATTTGTCAAAATTGACCAAATCCCCATATGAAGATTCATTAACATCTGGGCTGGTTGACAACAAACTTTCTACAGAAACTGGTCAAGAAAATACATTTCAAAGTCCCATTGGGTCAGCAGAAGTTCATGATGTTCCTCTGACCCTAGAAGAAACATCTACAGTGTCCCAAGCCAAGCTAAGTAGTAGAGAAATTTCTACACAAATTCAATCAGCAGTCATTGATCTGAAAGAATTGAAAGATGTTGACAGTTCTATTAATAATGAGCCAGGTGCTTGTCAGTATCTGGATGAAACCTCGACTTTGGAGAAAATTCAGAGGGATGACAAATCTGTTAGGTCTCCATCTGATCACAGAATTCCACATGAAGGTCAAACAGACAAACACCTTACAAATACAGCAGCTGGTAAAGAAGAGCAGGAATTGGTCAAAGTAGATCTACAAAATATTCAACCCACAACAGCCACCAAGGGTGAGGTGAAGCTTCAGGGCCTTGAATCGCAAGAGGTAAGACCTAATCTAAGGAAATGATCTTTTTCTTCGGCTGCTTTCTTCAAGGGTCTCCACAACGGATCATCTTGGCTCCTATTTCTCACTTCCTCTATTGTTCATCAACTGTCTTGATGTTGTCCTCAACTACAAACATACATTTTCTTTGGGGTCTTCCTCTTCGATTCGGCAGCTCAATCTCCAACATCTGGTGTCTTTTATCTTCACTGTCTCTTCTTAGCTCCGTACCATCTTAACCATGTCCCTAATTGACCCTTTCTTCATCTCTTAACTGCAAAACCTTTGTTGTTTCTCTGTTCCATTCATTTCTAAACTTGTCCATCTAAAGCCCCCCCAGAAAGATATCAGTATCCTCATTACTCCCACCAAGAATTTAGAATTTTAGAATCATTCTCCAAATATCCCAAAACCAAAAATCACTGTTTAAATATTCCGTTTTACTCTTATTATTTGTCAGCTTCCACACCAAACTCATTTCTATTATTCTTTTCTTCACTTCTTCTGCTTGCTGTCCACATCTTTGGACAGACTTAATGGCAGAGACAAAAATGATCTAGTTTATTTTCATAGAAAATAGTCTTGTAGTTTGTGTCAAAGAAAAGATATCCTTGGAATTATTGTAATATAAATGTAAAATTAAAAAAAATATTAAAAATAATAATTACCAGATTTAAGTGATTTTTTTTAGAACCATGCTAAGTTCACCATAATAACAAATATTAGTTTTACATTTTTACAAAACTAAACTGGCTTCAAAACAGAAGAAAAATAAAAAAATTGCAGCACTTTTGCTGCAGGGAACTAACAGACCAAATCCAGTTTTATGCACCATTTGCTGCATGTGCATGTTTGCACTTGCTCCTTAACATTCTTTACACTCACACTTTACAGATTAATGCAAGTACAGTGTGAGTTTTTGTTTTATTAATTCTATAACATTATTGAAATAAATCTACATGTTTAATTATTTTTGTGCTTTCTACAAGTTTGGATTTTGGCATGAACACAACATTTACTTACTGTGATAGTAAATCCTCTGGCCCCTCAGGGTGAGACACGTCATATATGATATTGTATTACAGGGTATAGGGAGTATCTCTGCTGCACTGTCAGTTGAAAAAAAATTTAATCAAAAAGGCAAGGGTTGTTTTGAAAGATACACAGACAGAAAGTCTTTTCAGCCTTTCAGACACAGAGTAATGGTAGTCATTGTGGGGGTTTTTAACCTGCTTTAATGCTTTTATTTTTTTTTGACAACGTGACGTGAGCAGATGTGCGTTGATGAGGAGGTTTCAACAGCTCACAAACCATTAGGTGAGTCTTTCCTGGCTGAAGTCATGCAGTCAGGAGGCTCACCAGCTAAAGGAAACAAAGAAGAACAAAGCCTTATGTCAACTGAGGCACCTGGATGCTTCACCCTGAGGAATATCTTTACAGAAATGAAGCTACTGGCAGTAAAAGGAGCCCGAAATCAACTTATTAAGGTATTGTGGTTGTTTGTACTGGCATCAAACATGGAGTAACAGTTTTAGCTTCTAGCCATAAAATATTATAAATGTGAGTAAAGTGTCCCTTTACCTTAAGCTCAAACTAATTTAACATGTCATGCTAGATCTTTGAAGGTATTTAGAGATCTGTTGTATCATGTGTCCTCTCCTAACAGAGAAGATGTTGATTTTACTATTTTGTTGGTATTTTTTGCCCATCCCTGTAATAAAGATGTAAATTTTATAAGCCTGGTTTTATTATTAGAACTGAGCTAATGCTGTAAGACTAAACTAACTAAGTAATTCAACTTTACCTCTTGAATTTAGATTAAATCACAGCACGAGGCTCCGGAGAGCTTGATCACTTCCACCAGCAACGATGTGGAGGCATGTCTCAACAGACTGGCTGCACAAATCCTGTGCTACAAGAACCAATCAGCTGATCTCAGTCCATCAGCAATGGCACAGCAGTTGGAAGAGGCTCAGGTGAGGAAAATAAAGATTTGTTTAGTGATGGCATTATGTCTCAAAAAGATAGATGTTTCAGTATTTTCTCATAAATGTGTATAGTGTACACCACAGATTCTGACTGATATTCTCTTTTGTCGAGTTTAGCAGTGCAAACAAGATATCCAGGACCAGGTGTCATTCCTCTCCAAGCTAAGAGGAACTGATGCTGAAGACCAGGATGTGTTAGAGAGACAATGGAATGTTGCTGCTCAGGAGGCAGCTGACATCATCCAGATTAAAGAGGAACAACTTCAACTGGTCACTGATTACTGCAAACGAATCCAAACAGCCAGAGACACCTTGGAAAAACAAAAAGTAGAACTAGACACTGTGAAAATGTAAGTTGCTCAAAGTCTAAAATATAAAATTTGCTTGTGTGTTATGAAAGATCTTTTGAACCCAGTTTTTCAGGTGTGAAAACAAATGTTTTGTTATTTCCTTCCATTCTGAATGTCCATGTCTCCCACAGGTCTCCTGAACATAGCAGCTCCAAAGAGGCAGAAAAGCTGTCCTCTTTACAGAACAACATGGAGCAGAACTGGCCAGTATTTAAAGAACTGCAAGTGGCCTTCTCCAAGTTGAGCCCCTACCTCAGTCATTCTGAGCAAGTCTCTGTACAAGCTGAGCTGAAGGACTTGCAGAGGAAGTGGAGAGACATGGAAAGAGCCATTGAGAAAAGCCTTCATCACACAAATGTCCATCGCCACCAGATCTGTAGCCTTCAGGCACAAATAATTGCCCTTCAGGAATGGTTAGATGCACTTGACAGAGATCTGAGCGCCATGTCTCTTTCAGCAACACAGTGGAATTGTAAGACGGCTCAGCAGCTGATGGAGGCAAATGCAGAAGTAAAGTCTGCACAGCAGACATACGTCCAACTACAGGAGTTTTCAGAGCTTCTTCTTCTCAGCTCACAATGGGAGACAGAAACTACTAAAATACAACAGAGTCTCCAGAACATCAAAGATAAACTTGATCATACAGAAAAAATTGTGTCTAGTCAAATCCAGACCAGCAGCAACCCCATCATGGAAAAGATCATTGTTGTGATGAGGGATGGACTTATATGGGCTAAACAAACTGAGAGTGATATTGAAAGCAGAAGACGGAGGGTAGCCCTCCTCCCTGAAGAGGTTCACCAGCAGCTCCGAGATTTAAAAAAGCTCCAGTCTGAGGTAATGGGAAAACAGTGCCAATTGGAGGCACTGGTGGAGGAGGTGACAGAGCTCCTCCCACAGTTGGACCAAGAGGAAGAGGTGCCAATGGTCCGTATTTCTCTTCAAACCCTCACTCAACTCTCACACTCCACTACTGATAAACTGGCTGTTGCTGTACGAGAATTAGAGTCAGGATTACAGACCAGAGAGAAGATGTCAGAGCAGATTGCTGACCTTGATTCTTGGGTAGTGACTCATCTGCACAGAGATGCTTTCAGAAGTGAAGAAAGTGAGTTTAGAAGCCCAGCAGAACAGGATCGGAGGGTCCGTCAGGTGCAGGAGACACTGACTGAGGCTGATAAACAAGCTGCTGTCTGTGAGGCTTTGCTGATTAAAAGCAAAGAAATCTCTTCTGAACTCAGCATCTCAGAGAACTGTCAGCTTTTTGAAAGGATCACCAACCTCCGGGAGGACATTGGATACATTAGAAGCAATGAGGAGGTCAACAAGAGGGAGCTGGAAAAATTCATTTACACAACAACTTCTAACAAGAAAACTTTGGACAGCATTGAGCAGAGCCTGAGGCAGATGTTAGTGGATCTCAGCAGGCTCCGGTTTCCAATCACAGCAGAGACATTGAAACCATTAAAACCTTTCAAAAATTTGATTCGGGAGCATAAGACACAGGTTGATCTCTCACAATCTTGGATTTCACAGGAAAAGACACAGCAGCTAAACTTGGTCATCTCAGAAATCTACACTAAAATAATCAACCTGGAAAGAAAAGCCAGAGACCATGAAAGGTACCTGCACATGAGGCAGTTTGTGGAGGAACTCAGGGAGGAACTTCAAGTTCAGGTTCGTCACACTAAAGAAGAGAGCAAATCTCCTGAGGAGAACTACAACATTTGTCAGACCCTCATCATCAAGATTTATCTTGTCAAGTGGTTTTTTGAGGAGGCCAACGCTGAACTTCAGGTGATTTCTGCTGACCTTTACCCATCTCAGCTGTGTGATGAAAAACAGAGGCTTAAAGATAGCGAGCAGAACCTCAACACCATGAAGATAATGCTCTGCAACAACCTTAGCATCATTGAGTGGGATCTTTTGAAGGAGCTGGACCTTGAGTCAGTCAGGGAAGATGCTCAATCTTCTCTCTTTAACATCCAGCAGCAGCTTCAGGCACCCATCAAGATGGAGCCAAACGAAACCGCGATCAGTGAGGAATATCAGAAACTTATGATTCTGAAAAAGACTCTTGAGTCAAGAATGAGGGCACTGGAGATTTTGGAACAGAGAAAGGGAAGCAGAAAAGATGGAAACAAGGATCTGATTTCTTTAAAAAATGAAGTCATCAGTGAATGCGATTCAAAAATGGTGAGTTGCATAATATCTTTATACCCAAGTAGGAAAGTAGAGAGCAGAAAATATAGTCCTGTAAGTGTTAGAACTAATTATATATATATACATTCCTCTTTTTAAGGAACATGTTCTCAAGGCTAGAGAGACTCTCAGAAGTTACACTTGTGCTGTCAGAAGAGCCCTGCTGTTCCTGTGGGACATTGAGATCTCTCTGCTACCACCTTATGGCTCCACTGCAGTCTGCGCAGACAGACAGAAGGAGGTCCAGAAGGCTTTGTTGACATTGCAGCATCAATTCCAGACATATGTGGAGCAGCTCCAGAATCAGTTTGAGTTGCATCCACTGCTGTGCCCTGTGAAGGTGGAGCAGCTTCTAGAGACGATCTTGAGTCAGCTCCTGGTCAGGATGTCCACTCTGGAGGCTAAGGGACATGTCCAGCTGGACCGTCTCAGCAGGTTAAGAGTTAAAAAAAAAACATTTCAAGAAAGATGACCTTATATGAAATGTTTTGATATTCAAACAGGACAGGGTTGTTAAGCAGGTGTTGTCACCGTGTTGAGAAGGTTTTCTACTGGTTCAACATAATTCTCTTCTTTTTTAGATGTGCTGAACTTTACAATACATATGTGAAGAGCCGAGATGAAATCCTGCAGAGTTTGACAAAGGCAGAAAACAGCTTACTGCAGTTTATATCTCAGAAACCGACCAGTCTCTCTGACTGCACTGACCATGAGGCCAAAGTTAAAGTACGTTAACATAACACTAAGATTTTCTTAAAATAGTAAGCCCTATGGTTAGTTTTGTTGTTCACAGTTAAATCTCCATCCCCATTTGTAGGCTCTGTGTGAGGAAGAGGAGTCTCTGCTGAGGCGCCTGGACCAGCTGAGAGAATGGTGTCAGGAACCAGGCTGTAGAAAAGTCAGAGAAGCCACGATGACGTCCATCTGGAAGCGAACTTGGAGACTATGGCGATGCACCTGGGAGCTGACATTTCGAAGTAAACAGAGGATCACTGAGTGGAGTGATGTCACCAACAGTGTGAGTAGATCAGACTCACATTCATCCTGTTTGATTTAAAGTTTTTCTAACTTTGAATACCAATTGAGGGTAGTAGTAGAAGTAGCTCAAAGTTTTTTTGAGGCAGCAAAAGAGAGAAATTAAGTCTTGTTTGCATCTGTTTTAGGTAAGGAAGGCATCAGCTGTCCTGGACCAGGTGGAGGCGGAGCTTCCTAATAAGTCACAGTTGAAGGTGTCTACTGAGGAGCTTAATGACCTTGTCCAGTCCTGGGAACAGTATCAGGACAGACTGGACTGTGAGCACCGCTCACTGTCAGCGCTAGAACTGCGAGCTGCAAGGATGCTTGGAGTCCCCGCCCACCTTGAAGAAGCCCCTCCCACTCCGCTCTGCCAGCAGCTACAGTCTATGCAGGGCAGATATGGCAGGTGAGGAGTGTTTTCAGTTCATTTCATAGATTTGTTTTGTATTTCTGTTGAAAGTGAGGATCTTTAAAAGTATCTGTTAATTCAATGCCAAAATATTTGCTTTTTAAGTAGTTGGAAAGTTTAGCGTTAGTTTATGTTAGCGAATGTTTTCTAACATAGCATTACAAGAATATATAAATAATGAATATCAGCATAAAACAGTTCCACATTAGCGAAGGAAATGTTCCACACTACAGCAAAAAAAAAAAATTAGTAGTTTTTAATAATAATTAGTGTTTGATACATTTAATAGTAGTTGTGTTTGTATGTTAATTCATGTCTTTCTGAAACCACAGTGTGAAGCAGCAGAGCAGAGAGGGTTTGGAGGCAGCCAGGTCAGAGCTGGTGCAGAGAGAAAAGGTTCAGGAGGAGCTGCAGAGTGTAAGGGTTTGGCTGGAGGCTGCAGACGGTCTTCTGTCTGAAATGGAGCGGAGCAACAGCACACAGGAGCTGCAGGTGAGACAATCTATAAACCAAAATTTAAACCAACATTTGCCAAGGCAAATCACAGCAAGTGTGGGGCTGAATGTAGTGTGCTGCTGACAGTTCTCTGACTCATTTAGAAATGAGTAACATTAACTTCTTTTAGATTTACTTTAGCGATGCAAACTGACCACCTGAGGCTGTAGCGGACAGGCAGCCTCTGTTTTCATGTGAGTTAAAATACATGTGTAAAATACATATTTTTTCTTAATGGAAAAAACAAGTAGTTTCCTGAAATCAGAACTGGTCTCTACTATTTGTTTAATATAGGGCATTGTGCCAATTTGTCGGTAAGAGTAAAAGTTTTGGATAATACTGATTGCTTATGACTCATCATGATGGGAGCAGCATGAGAAAATGTCAAAAGAATGTGCAGATTGTCAAATATTAGATGGAATGAGGACAGAGTGACCGTTAATTATTGGATTTATAAATATATGTGAAACATCGAACCGTTGGCTTGGCCTCAGGCCCAGACTCAGTCTTTGACTGATACAGACTCACCGGCACAAAGAATGAATCTGCCCTTTGTCCTAGAACCTGAGCAGAGGCCAAGGTCTGTACACACACATACACACACACACTGTCTCTCTAGTTAGTCTCTATGAATGAAAGACCTGAACACCCCCACGACCTGACTCCCCTCTTGTACCAGACGCCTTTTGTTCACTCCTGTAAGTGGATCTTCCTGGTGGCCTCTGGAGTTTAGCATAGGTACTTGTAAGGACCACCATCTCATTATGAATTCCACAGCCTCATAGAAGCTGGGTTCAACCCTGAAACCCCTCTTGGACTAATTTATGCTCTATCGAGAAGCCAGAGTTTCGTTCTGAATCAAATGTGATTTTTGCTTTTCTACTTTCTGTTGTTTAAGGAGGTGCACAGCCAGCTCTTCACCCAGAAGGCTTTGCTGCAGCGCATCATGGAGAACCTTAAAATAAAGTACTCTGATGTAAACACACCTGTGCCAGTGGAAATCCAAGGACTTCTGCAGAAGGTCCAGCAATCGATGCAGCAGGTGGAAGTCAAGGTAAAGTTATACATCACTGCAGTGACCTTTTCACAGGTCATCCTCAGTGAAGGTCTAAACTTTGCTGGTTTGTGATTGGACTATAAGGTGGGTGAGGCAGTGGAGAGGAGTGGACCTGTCCATATGTTGGGGGCTAAGCTGGCTGAGATCCGTGCTGGACTAAGGTCCGTTGAGAAGAGACTGGATCAAAGAAGTCCAACGGTGATTGAGGCAAAGGTCACTCAGAAGGTAGGTGGAGGAAAGTCAGGGAATAAGTATGAGCTTTGTTATGATCACTTTAGCTATGACTTCCTATCTGATATAACTCTGTCTCTTTTCAGCGAGTGTGGGATGAACTAGACGTGTGGCACTCCTGTCTAGCAGCCATTGAGGTGGACATGCAAGACCTGGAAAAACCTGAAGAGGCTCTTGCCCTCACAGAGAGACTGGGGGAGGGTCAGCAGCTCCACTCTCAACAGTCCAAACGGGCCGAGCAGAGGACCACACTCCTCAGCAAGGTCAGGACTTCACGTCTGCCCTGTTGTATTTAACACATTGACCCCAATCTGATTTATGATTCTGAGATTAACAAGTTGATTCCCTTAGACTCACACATGGCTTCAGGAACATCGGGAGATGATCAGCAGCTCCAAGAGCTGGATGGCTGAAGCACAGTCATGGCTGGCTGCTCCCTGTGCCTACACTACTGCCAAAGATCTGAGCAGCCATGTCCAGTCTCTGCAGGTTGGTGACCAAACATTTCTACATGTTTGTGTTGTCTTCGTCCCAATTGTGAAAATCTTGTTTATAGATCAAGCATGGCCAACCTGTGGCTCAAGAGCTGCATGCGGCTCTTTGCCCGGTTTCATGTGGCTTGTACATTTATGTTGAATTTTGTTTGTGTTTTTTTACGCTATGTGAATCTCATGGGCGTTAACGTAAATGACTTAGGGGAAACCCAATTAGCACAGATGAAAAGATGTACATAGGAAGTTTTAACAGAGTGGAAGAGTCTTATATTTTTTTAAGGGATGGAGCAGTTCACATGTGCCCATGTATATCATGTGGCTCTTTGCAGTAACACGGTCAAATTTGTGGCTCTTGGCCTTTGACTGGTTGTCCATCCCTGCCATAGATCCTTGAATCAGGCTTTTATAAAAAAAAACTCCCTGCTTATTGCAGATGGTGTTGAATGACTCGCAGCAGATCCGCTCTACGCTGCAGGGCTTCAGTTCAGTGCTGCAGGAAATGTCGCAGGTGTGTGACATCACCAACCTCCAGCAGCAGCTTGTGGAGGCCGATCAGGAAGTGGCCAACGTTCAGGACAGCTTCACCACTCCTTTGTCCCAGCTGGAGCATGCTGCTGCTGTGAGTTCTCCATTTTATGGCTTAGCTTCTGTTAGCTCTTCTCTGACTTCAGCTTCTCATTTCTTTGACTGTTGTTTTTTCAGGAGGTGGAGGCCATTGAGAGCGAAGTTAGACGAATGGAGACTGATGTTGCAGAGATAAAGACTTTGTTATCATCTCCAGAAACTTTTCCTAGTCCCAGAGAGGAACGTCTGAAGGTATGACAAGGAAGCAGAAGCATCAGTATCATCAGGAATTAAATATAATCAATATGACAAAAAGAAGCTGGCACCAGCTTTCTGACTGGGATTTCTGACTTTTCCAGGCGGTAGAGCAAAGGATCCAGTCCATGAGAAGAACTGTAGCTGAGATCCAGAAGTGTAAACCAGGACTTTGTCTTCCAGACAAATCTGAAGAAACTTTAGCTGTCTTTGGTGTCGTGGATCACCTCCAGACTCTGCTATTGGAACTGGAAAAGGTCAGAAACCAACCAACCAACCAATGAACCGTCTGACTAACCAATCATGCTAAATCAGTTGTTCCTCAGTTCTTCAACAAATCATAACTTTTTTATTAAGATGTTTACGGTCCCCAACCAATAGATTCACCACCTAGAGGTGTATCAGTGCTATTGCTATTGTCTTGTTGCCAAGACATAAGGTGAAGGTCCACCAGTCTGGATTGACCTTAAACGGTCTCATGTTTTCTACCATCTTGCAGAAGGTGCCTGCTGTGTTCATCCAGCAGCCCCCGACCCCTGTCCAAACCAAAGCAGTGACATCAGAGCAAACCTCCACCATTGCTACTTCTGAGACGCTGAAAACCACTGTGGAGGAGGCCGAGGTGAGTCAAGGTTCAAGGGTAAAAGTATTTATTTTGCCAATATCTGAGGGAGGTGTGGGCAGTGACCCAGTACCAGATGTGAACACACCTGAGGTCTGTTGTTTTGCTATAATCCAAAAAAAAAAAAATTTTTCTTAGAAGGAGGAGCCAGAGGGGGGACAGATCAAAATCGCTCACATGAAAGAGGACATTCTTAAGAGAAGTGGAGCCACACTGCTGACTGTGGAGCATTCTTCACCAGAGAAGAGAGAGTCCTCGTCACATGACCCTGCTCAGGTAAGAGCAGCCTTCTTCCACTTGCTCATTGTTGCCAATACTGGTTCTTTTAAATTTCCTGAGTAGGTATTGCAGTTTCTGTACCTGTAGAGCTACAGTTTCAGGTGCTACTACAACTTAATTACAACACTGTGGCAGATGGGATTTGTGCTCTCGCCTTTACAGGAGGGAGATCACTGTATGTAGTTCCCCTGTTCTCCTGTGTGGGGGGATTTCTCTGGGTTCTCAAGTCTTCCTCCCATAGTCCAGAAACATGCAGGTTGAGGATCAGGTTAATTATTCACTCTTGAATGACCGTGGGTATGAACGTATGAGAAGTAGTCAGGATGTCAACGTTGTCAAGACATCAGATCAAAGACGTTAAACTGCAGGAAACAGGAAACAGGCTTCATTAAACTAGGTTACTTTCTCTCCTGAGCTGAGTCCAAGAAGATCATCAGCTTTTTAAGTCTGTTTCTCATGGTACACCTGTGTTACTGACATTAATCTGATGACAGGTGTGTAAAACCCAGAACCGAAGAACCACACACTTGACTGTGACATAAATTGTTATAATTTCTAATTATAAATTGCTGTACAAAGACTACTTTATGCTCTGTGCAAAGTACAGAAATGAAGCCTTTCGTCAGTTTTGTGCCTTCCTTAGATTAGTACACCCATACAAGGAAGCGCAATAAACCAATGACAGAACAACAACAGAAATGGAGGAACCCTGTCCACACAGACCACCACCGCCTCCTGTTCTGTCTCTGTTTGGACCTCCTTCTGAACAGAAACATTATTGAACTCACCACTGCCCCCTAGGGAATATATTGCTTAACAATAGCGACAGACAGTGAGGTATGAAACAAATGTACTTTGGTAAAGTGCCAGCACCAAAGTACTGTGTAGACCAGGGGTCACCAACGTGGTGCCCGGGGACACCTGGTAGCCCCCATGGACTACCTGAGGTGCCAGCAGGCTGTGTTCTAAAAATCAAACAAGTCAGCAAGAATGTCAGAAATGTTATTGTTACTGTGCATTTTTAAGCAGTTCCTCCTGCACTGATATTCAAATGGTAAGAAGAGTGTCTGCTATTGTATGTACCAGAACTAATTATTATTACATAATCTGTATTAAACAAGTAGCTCACTGTATTACTAAGTGCCCTTAAAGTAGCTCTCAGTTTCAAAAAGGCCAGTGACCCCTGGTGTAGACATTATAGACTTCAGTAGTTGTGGATTGTGGATTATAATTTTTTGTATAGAGGCGCAGCAGCACGGAGGTTCTTCTTGCAGCTCAGTGTTCAGGACACATGTTTGTTTGATTCAGACCCTCTGACACACTGTCTTTGCAATGTCAGCAGTACCAGCATGAAGGCAAGATTCAGGCTGAAGAAGCTTCAGAGACAGAAACAGACAGTGAGGAGCAGGGAGATGAAGTATCAGGAGGAGGAGCAAGAGGAGGAGGAGAAGGAGGGTTTTGGTGGTGGCTCTGGGAAACTTTCCTGGGCACTCGTCCTGAGGTAAAGAAGATTGCGAGAGCTTTGTTCACTTCTCTTTTTTCCTGCTCTCCTCTGTTTGTGAGCCTGGCACTTCAGCCAGCCTCAGGTCAGACACTCTTGATCCCACAACAGTGGTTCTGATCCTATAACTGAAGCTCGAGTGGCATCTCTGTAAACTAATCCCTGACTTGGATCACTCTGTTCTGCAGTACTTCTTGCTGCTGTCCCTCCACTCTTCATCATTTTTAATCCTCCATTTATCCTCCAGTTGCTCCTCTTCTTTATCTTCTCTCTGCTCAGCTGTCTCTGAAGTTGCTTCTTTCTTCTATAGAGGGCAGTGTTGAACAGCACATGCAGCTCTAGAGGCAGAGCTATACAGAAGATCAGTGAGAGACAGATGTGTGTGTTCTGGCTGTGTGTGGATTTAAACCCTACGTCAAATGTTAAAAAGACTTAAATTGAAAAAAAGATTTTTGTTTGAAGATTTTATCTCCCTTGGCCAACATTAGGTTGTGAAAAGTGGTTTAAAAGTGGTAATGGTTTATTACCATTTTAAAAATTGTTTCAATTTGGCCAGCGTTTATTTGTCGTTCATTTTGTAACTTTAAGCTGTTACTGTGAACTATCTTTAAACTCTAACCTATCTTTAATAGTAGAAAATAATGATTCAATATTTTGGGTTGGCTTCAAAAGTCTCTACATAAACATTCTTTGGTTGTGTTAACATTTATAGCTTTTAAGTGACACTTGATTGATTGATTGATGTTCTTCAGGAGTCGAAAGCTGTGGTTCCAGCAGAATCTGAAGCTGTTGATGAAGAAGTCTCGGAAGATACAGAAGAAGAGAAACAGGTGAGTGGTCGTTCGACTGAAGACCTCCTCACTGCTCATTCAACACTATGACTCAGACTTAAGGCTAAACAGTTCAATACATAATGTAACACTCAACCATTATTTATATATCTAAAGGTTAGCCCTGAAATGGCTTAAAGTTAGCCAAAAAAAATTAAAAGACTTAACTTAAACTTTGTCTAAAAAAAAAGTGCATCATTGTAATACTAGTAAGATTTTTTTAGAATTAGCTAAAAAAAACAATTATATTAACTGTTCAGGAAAACTTTCAAGTTTCAAACCAAAACTGCTACATTTTACCTCAAGTACTTTTGGCTAACATTTAGGAAGGGTGATTAAAAAAGTAATGCAAATAGGGATATCATGACGCAAGCCATAGGTTAGCCTCCAGTAGAGCCTAGAGATAGCCACAGTAGCTCAAAGTTAGTCCTGAACTAACAGTTGTTCTTAACTAAAGGAGAACCCAAAATAATCTGTCTGTAACCAAACTTCCATCCTTTAACACGAGTGACTGTGTTACTGTGTGATCCTCGCTGTTTAACCAGACTGATCTTCTAACCTGCTCATGTTTCTTCAGGATGTTCAGGAAACCACTGACACCACAGAAGAGGGTTCCCCTGAAGGAGCTTTTTCTAGACCTCTGGTCACAGTCAGAACCCAGACCCTGCTGGAGAGCATGGTAAACACATCCTCCTCCGTTAAAGCTTCCAGACCCGACTCTGGTTCCCAGCGGAGATGTGTCCTCTCCTAGATCTAGATCTAGAACCTTTCCATCTAGAGCAGACTCTTCCACTTAGTGTTCTCAACTGGACTTGTGTTTTGAACTGTAGCTCTTCTCACTTTTTCATCTGGTGTTGTAGTCAAGACTAGATGTTTAGACATCCTGTAGGAAACTGATAAAACTGACACAGATTTAAGTCTTTTTATAGAATCAAGTCTATTAAAAAAACTCATAGAACAGCAACTAGGCTGTTTTTGACTTGTGTACACCAAGACCACCATAGAAGCCACAAACGTTAAATATTGACCATAATATTTTCTTGGACCAGGTGTACATTTGTACAAATGCCTAAAGAAAACAAACAACCATTAAGCAATTGTAGAACCAGGTCTACTGAACAAAAACAAGATGTCAAAACTTATTTTACTATATAAAACATAAACAATTTTTTTTTTTGTTCTGACCCTTTAAAAACTGTAGAAGTGTGGATTTCTGAACTTCCACTCAGCATTTCAAAGAGATCCCAAAACTTCAATTCAGAAAAAACACTTATTCCCTCAATCCTACAGATGGTTTTTTTTCTTTTCTAATGTTAGGTCTAAAATAAAGTTTTACTTAATATGAGCTCAGGCCCTATCTGTGAGCCTCATGTGTCTTCTGGACTAAGACTTTCAAGATTTATGAATTTGCAGTTTAACCATTTTATCGTTATTTTTTAGCCTATATAACCTACTTTATTGATGTTTAGTTGAATTGAATTAGAAGTTCATGTTTGAATAGATGTTCAACTATGGGCCACTCTGTAACTGACAGTGGTTACCGCATGACCCAGTAGTTGGCGCTAAAATTCCCTCTCATTTTTGTTTTCTTTTTCTTTTAACTCTAACTAATATTTTTTCAAAATATTTTTTTTCATTTATAAATCTTTTTAATCAACTACTTTTGTACATTTTGACAGAAAGACACCTGGAGCTCATCTGTGGCTTTAAAAAAAAAAGTTATTTTTTTTCTTACTAAATTCTAAGCTTCTAACTTATAGACATTTAGTCCGGACCTTCTTCAAACCTAGACTAGAACCCTGGATGTGTTCTAGCCCCGACCTTTACTGTAGATCCTTCTAGAAAAGCCTCTCTTGAAACACTTCAGTGCATTTACATGGCAGAATGTATTCCACAGTCTGGCCTCCACAGTTTGATGCTGTGGATGTTTTGCTTTGTTTTATTTTTTTCCAGTGTTTGAATAATAAAGATTTTAAAGAAAATACATTTATTCAGTGTAACTTGTGCCACAGATGCACATTTCTTTGATGTTCAGGTTTAAGACGAATCTAAAACGACAGACTGATGTTCATGAGCATGTGTTTCAAACACAGTCTGGGATTAGGGTGTTTGCATGATGATTTCGGGGTCAGAGTTTTTTAAAAGATGTTTTCCTTCTGTCAACAGTGTTTTTTAAATGTCAGAAATGTTCACCCCTACTTCTGCTGTCTGCTGAGCTCAGTCCCCAACCTGTGTGTGTAAACACACAGACATATTAAAGCAGTTATTTTTCCTGCTTGCTTTTCTGTATCTGCCATTTTTTAAACTTTAATTACCAGAAGCTAAAAATACGTTGTTATGACAGGGTGGTTGTTAAATGCAGAGGTTTTCTACTTTAGTTTGTAATGGATTTAAGAGGAATGAGGCCATGGAAATGCACTGGTTTGATTAACAACAATCTGCTGCTGCTGCTGCAGGACAAAACCTCCAAATCTGATTTTTTTTTTTCAACTAAACAATTAGAACAATATTCATTTGGAAAATATCATTTTAACTGCAGTAATCTGTGATTTTTTTTTTTTGTAAAGTCTGAGGTGTTCAGACTGCTGAGGTTTTCTCCTGAGAATGCAGCTGCACTCAGACAACTCTACGTGACCTGATGAAGCACGTACTGAACCTGTACCGTTCTGTTGTCACACTTTCTTTTTCTGTCTACAAATCACAACGTGAACACAATTTCAAATAAACCCACAACCGTGACACAACCCTTGGTCTCCCTGTTTCTGTTTCAGAGCCCATTCACACAGACCTGCTGTTACAGGGACAGTTCATAGAGTAGCTGTGTGAGGCACTGACTCAGAGTCAGAGGTTTTAAAACCACTCATTGTGCTGTTTTTGGTCAGAGTTTCAGCCTGAAACCTGCAAGATCGGGCAGACAACAGTCAGAGGAATGGACAACGCCAGGAAATACAATATATGGCCACTAAACTAAATTGTCTGGTTTAGGTCCATGACAAATCCATTTGCTAGTTAATCTCACCATCACAGAACATCCTCTGCCTGTGAACTGAGGCTCTTCAACAGCCATACCAAAGTCCAGAGAGAAACTCTGTGTTTTTAGTACACAGTTCTACAGAAGCTGCAGTTGTACTTCTGTGTTCTTTGGAATATTTGTGTCACTAAAGTAAATTAAAGTGAATGAATTTCAAACACTGAAGTCGCAAATTAACTTGTGTGAATCAATAACACAAGCATTAGTTAAGTCAAAAGCTCTTATTTACAGAGATGTCTCTTCTCCACACCAAAGTCCATAGAGAAAATCAGTGATTTTAGCTGCTGTTCCACTGCTGCCTCCACTGGTCAGTTTGTGTCACTGGGGTAACTCTAAATCATGCATTTTATAGACTGACATTGCAAGATAACATATTAAAACATTCTGACTGTGACAGTGGTGGGTCATCATCTGTTGAGTGCTGTAATGTAAAATCACTATATTTTCTGATGGACTTTGGTGCAAAAGACTGAGCTGAGTGACTCAAACTGTAGTTTCCTGTTCAGAAAGAGGGTTTAAGTTTTTGTTGACAAAATTCACTCAGGACACAGCAGAGGTTTGGTTCATTTAAAAGACAAAAAAAGGTTGAAAAAAAATTGACCACAGTCACAGCATGTCCCACACACTAGTGACTGTGCTCCTGCTAACCTTCTAACACACTCTGGAACTGGATGCAAAGATGGAGCCAAACTCATTGATGAACTGAATAACTACTCAGAATTCAGCACTGAGGCCTCACACTTTCATTTGTAGCATCTTTAATTACAACTCACACTCTGACCTGTGTTGATGCTGCATCCTTTGCATTTTACACTCAGTTGTTGATTTTTATTCAATGTTCAACTAAATATTTAAGGTGGTCATTTAAGGTGAATTCTTTTAAACAGCTTCAAGGTCGTCAGTGTTTGCTCTGAAATGACCGATTGCCTTCAAAAATAGTCCTTTGTACACAGGATAAATGCCCAGGCTCAAAAGTATTTGTGGTTAAGCTATCTTTTAGCAAATTCCTTTAGCACACTTTGGCTAACCTTTTTGCAACATATGCTTTGTTTTTGGACTTACAGCTGATTTTTTAACTGCACTGACCAACTTTAAACTTTTTTAGAATACTTTTTTGCCCACATCACAAACTATTTATATATATATTTACAATTCGCAGACAAACTGCTCATCCGTGGGCCTCTCCCTAGCATTTGTGTTTTAGCTTTTAATTAGCTCCATTTTACTGTGCCTCAGTTTCTTTTAGCCTCGTACTATGTACAACAAAACCTTTTTAAAAATCTCATAACAAATTGATTGACTTCTAGAACTTCTGTCTCAGCAGAACTCCGTGTTCCAAACCTGACATTGGTTTATTGACTCCTGTAGGTCACAGTTAGATTATTGTTTGCAGGTAGAAGAAAAAGAACTCGGATTTTGAAAAGTTTCCACAGTAAATAATGTCTGTAAGGTTTTTAAAAGATCAGTAACAGGGACAGAGTGACACAGTGTGGAGTCAGCGTGTTTGTCACCAGTGTTTACTCCTGACTGTAGCTGCGCCCCCTGCAGCCTCAGGCCACTCCTCTTTTTTTGACATGATTTTTTTTTTAAAGTCCTGTCACTGGATCTCAGGTTGTTAAACCAGGAAGTGGTGTCAGGCCACAAGTGGGCGGAGCCCCGTCAGACAGAAAGGTAAACAGAGAGAGACAGTTGAAGGAAATGTGCTGAAGTGAAACTCAGGTGGATCCAGGTCAAAGTCTCAGATCTAGTCAGATTCAGGTCTCAGGTCTCAGCTTGTTCCACTCTTAGACTCTGACCGTGGAAGTTCAGGGAACCTCAGACTTTTCTATTGTGTTTGTGTGACAGGGCGGGTCCCAGACAGAGCCTGGTCCTGGTTCTGGTTCTGAGTCCGCTTCTGGATTAGATGAGGAAGTTCTCCATGTCTGCCTGGAGAGGGCTGATCAGCTGGAGCTGTGGTTGCAGGAGGCCCAGAGGATGCTGGGAAAAGCCACTACTGCTAAAGGTTCAGAGGTCATGCAGGAGAGTCTGGAGTGGCAGCTTCTCAGCTGTCAGGTAAGACACGCAGCCTTTGAACAGGGGGAGGGGTCTAATAAAAATCTATAGGAAAAAAACTAAAAAGGAATATTTGACATATTCAGACAAAATTTGATTAAAAATACTTTTGACATTTCAAATGATGATTTAAAAATATTTTAAAAATGTTTAATAAATTGTCATTTATTTATAAAATAAAATACAATAAGAAAATAATAAATTATTTAATTGACTAATTCTTCAAATTATAAAAATAAAAGTCACAAAGACAAAATGTTTTCGTTATTTTTTTATTTGATAGAAAACTACACGATTAACTAAACTCAAACTCAGGTTTTAGGTTTTCATTAGGTTTTCATTCACAGATCAGTCTGGTCACATGACTGTGCTGCTGCTGCTGAAACTTGAACCTCCATTAAAGTTTTATCCTGTCACGTGATCAAAGGGTCACAACATCATCTCATGTTTGAATGAAACAAACAAACAGCAGAGCAGCTTTTGTTTTCACTGAAAATACTGGGAAGATGTAACATTTAGTAATTGGGTGTTGGTGCTGATGTTTAGGAGATGTTCCTGGAGATCGAGCAGAAGTTGGCAGATCTGTCCTCACCCAGATCTGGATCTGAGCCTGGATCAGTCAGATCCCAGCAGGAGGCAGCAGAGCTTCTCTCCTCTAAACTAACGCTCCTCAAAGAGAAGCTGGTCTCCTTTCAGCAAACACTGCAGGACAGACAGGAAGTGGAGAAGAGGGCAGAGGTCACAGAGACGCAGGTACGACCAACAGCAAATGTTCAATGAACACAATGGAAAATATACTGTACTTCTTCCTTATTGATCTCCTTTTTGGCCCCTGTCTTCTCAGAAGTCACAGCGCCCCCTGAAGTCCAGGCTGAAGCGCAGCAGCAGTGTTCAGGAGATTTTCTCTTCACCCAAAAACAAACTGCTGAGACAGAGCAGCCTGCAGCAGCAGCAGGTTTCTGTAGCATCACTCTGCTGCTTTGACATTTTCAGCTTAGTGAAATGGTACACTCATGTTTGTTTTTTGGTTTATTTGTTTGTGTTGCAGGAGTTGGAGCATGAGCTGAGTCAACAGATTGGACTGACACAGGCCATCATTGACCTGCAGGGCAGCAGACCTGGACCCTGTCAGGAATCTCTAGAGCTAAGGTCAACCAGGTGTGTGTGTTATTATCACATATTTATGACCTATGAAGGCCTGAAGTATAAGATGCCACACAATAAATTGAAACAAGATCAACATTAAAATAAAGGGAGAAAAACACTTGATCTTGTAACTGTAACATTTCCTTTAGGGCTAAACCTGCTACTGGGCCTGAGGATGGAGATGAAGAACAGGAGAAGAAGAAGAAGAAGTGGCTTCAGCTCCACACTGAGCTGCAGACTCTAGTGCTGCGGTTAAGAAGCGTCACCTTCACACCTGAGGAGCTTCAGCAGCAGCAGCAGCAGCAGCAGGTCCGACTCCCTCTTGTATCTTCAGAGATGATGCAGGGACCGTCTGACAGTTCCAGTCTCAGTCTGAAGGTGTCACACTTTCTTCTGTGGACAACTGATGAAGATGATGATGATGATGGTGGGACAATGAGTTCTGCGATTGGCTCAAAGCTTCTCACCCAGCTTCAGGGACTAACCAGGCATCTGGAGTTGCTGCAGGAAGGTTCAGTGGCAGTGTCGCTGGATGAGGTACAGAGGGCGCTGTTTATCACAGAGCTCCAGGTCAAAGTCCTGACCTGTGACCTTAGCCTTTTTTTATTTATTTGCATCTTCAGTGTGGTGTTTGTCTTCAGCCTAAGTCTCTGTCTGCAGGAACTGGACCAGGATTTGTTTCTGGTTCTGCACAGACTCTTCTTATATTTGTCCTCCATCCAACATCTCCAACAGTCTCCAGATGTAGAAGTGACGCTGCAGGTCAGACAGATCTCAAAATCTGGCCCAAAAGAATTTAGCCCAGCCTGACTCTGTTTTGATCTGTTGTTTCTGTCAGGACCTGTCAGCAGAACTGTCCACTCTGAGATGTCACGTGACCTCATCAGACGCTGGTCCATTGACAGAGGGCTGTCGTCGGTGTGTTGAAGCCCTGGTCCAGGTTCTTCCCATGGTCCAGACTGCTGTGAACTGCAGAGAGACACAGATCCTGAAGTTGCAGCAGGAGACAGGAGAGCAGAAGGTCAGAGACAAGGTCACTGCAGATGTTTATTAAAAAAACCAAAACAACTTAATACTTCACCAAAGTCCGTGGAAAAGAGAATTGTGATTTAACACTTTAGACAGCAGACTCATTAAAACACTTTAAAACACAAGCCCAAATGTAAAACAAAACAAAACAACAAACAAACAAACCAAAAAACTGATGTGAGCTCGAATCACTGACCTTTTCATGGACTAAGGGGAACGAGTGGTTAACATTTGACATCAATGGCTCCAGTTCCAAAGGACAAAAGAGCAACAGGATCTGGGATGTTGTTATTATTATGTTGTTATATTAATCATTATGACACTGTGTCAAATCTGTGTATATATTAACAATATGTAATATAAACTGTGTATATATTAACAATCCTCTACCCCCCCTCCCAACACACATACAGAATATTTAACAACTATATAACAATTCAGGAATTAGGTACTCTTCTATGACACTAACAGGAGCCCAAGTCCCACCAGTGGTATGAGTGCCCACGTTTGAGAACCACCTGACCTAACCCGTTCACAAATGAAAATAACTTGGTTAAACCCAGTGGATGTTGTTGGACAGAACCAGTGTGGTGTGTGTTTAACTCCAACAGAGTCGACTGCAGGAGCTGCATGCAGCCTTTACATCTAACTGTCAAATAACCAATGAGCAGAGTGGATCCATGGACTTAAACCGACAACTCCAGGTACAATCGAACCTCAGTACAGACACATGTGGTGTTGAAGTAAATGTGGAGAAAAAAAACTTAACTGTGAACTGTTTAAACGGCACAACAAGAAGCACGTTGCATGAGGAACTGTACTGTAAATATACACAAAGCATTCTGGGATACTTTGCTTCACAAATTGACTACAAAGTGATTTAAATGTGGAATTTTAAAATAAATAGGTCACTCTAACGTTATAAAGATCTCTTAAAACCAATAATTAAAATCACTGAGTAACAATTATTCTTTTACAGGGTTTTAAATGATTACTGAGACTGTGAACAGAAATAAAACTATAACAGAAACAGAAGACATAAACGAGTTATCCCAAAAATAGCTAAAGATAACAGGTATTTTCTGATAAAGTAAAACATGTAAATTAATATTAGTGGGCTGCCAAGCTAGTGCTAATTTGCTAAAAGTGAGCCCAGAATTAGCCAATGATGTGATGAGAGGGAAAAAAATAAAAGAAATGACACAGAGTTGGTTCATTTTAGTTGTTAAATGTTAGCCTATCAATGGCTAAATGAAAACCTGCCTGCACATGTTCAAGGATCACCAGGGTGTAGTGTTTCACATGCAGATACTGAACCTGTGTTAACTCTCTAGGTGGCGCTGCAGAGGCAGGAGACACTGCAGCTTCATCTGCAGCAGGTTGACTCCCTGATGGAGGAGGTGGAGAAACACAACCTGAACTCCTCCATCATCCAGCAGGCTGCACAGCTACAGGTTAGCTTCAGGTCTGAGTTTTTATTCTGTCCTCTGCAGAAGCCTGAGGACTGAGTCCATTCTGTGTCCACAGACAGACCTGGACTCCTCTCTACGTGGACTTAAGTCCCACTCCGAGGAGCTGAGGAGCAGCGTGGAGTTACAGCAGCAGTATGAACGTCTGCTCCACAGCCTCCAGGATCTTCTTGTCCAAGGCTCTGAACATCTCACACGGCAAGAGACCAGAGCAGATGGTGAGAGGCTGAGGAGCAGAGACGATCTTCAGCAGAGACTCAGGAGACACACGGTCAGTCTGGAGCTTCTGCATCGATGAGAAACGATAACAGTGTTTCGCTTTGTCCTAAATCTGCCCTTTGTTTTGGTCAGACATTTTTCCAGTTCTTAAGTCACCACTATGAAACCCTGCAGTATCTGACCTACAGACTCCCTGACAGCGCCCTCCACAGGTGGAGTGGTGCGTTGACAGATCTGCAGGAGGAGCTGCAATGTCAGGTGCAACACGGACTGGAGGAGGGAGCCAAGATGGAGCAAATGTTAGAGGTAAAAAAAAAACACAACACAACAGTGGTTGGTGCACTTGCCTTACGACAAGGTTAGTGGTTCAAAGCCTGTCTACCGTAATCTTTTTGTGGATTTAAAACCAACAACTCATGTTTTTCTAGTTTTATCGTTTTTTCTGTGTTTGTTTGTTTGTTTGTTAAACCTATTTTAGTTAGCAACACAGCTGCCTTTTGAACATCTTCATGTCTCCTCAGGTGTGGACACAGTGGGACAGTGACAGCACCTGGGCTGAGTCTCTCCTGAAAGAGATCGATACCTTATTTACCAAAATGCATCAGAAGAAAGACACAAAGGAAATCTCCTCCAGCCTCCAGGTCATTTTCTCAAACACATTCATTTACTGTGAAACACTGTGTCCAGGAGCCTGGAAACAGACTGGAACTGTTTAAAGTCAAGTCAGTTTAATTTGATATATGAAATTCTCTGTTCTCTGGTGAACAGAGGGAAAATGAGAAGGGGGGGAAGGTAAGAAACAAGCAGTGGGCGTGGTCTATCAAAATGGAGGGAAAACTAAGATAAGAAGCAGAAAGTGGGCGTGGCCTATCATTTGGAGGGAAACTAAGATAAGAAAAGAAGCAGAAAGTGGGCGTGGTCTATCATTTGGAGGGAAAACTAAGAAAAGTTAAGGAACAGGAAGTGGGCGGGGCTAAATCAAGTGTGGATGAAATGGCTGCAACAAGTGGAAGACACAGAAAACACACAGACAAAATGTAAGTGTATGTGAGTCAGAACCTTCTGGATATTTTCCTTTTTTTTGGACTTTTCTCTCCACATGTTCACTGCTCTCTGAACCTAATTATCTGGATGACGTGTTAAAGAATTGGTTGTTGTTGAGTTTCCACAGGGGGAACACAGTGTTCTGTAGTTATTAGCTCCACACTGATGCACCTCTGCTTCATCACAGAGCTGCAGAACTGGAAATGTGGCTCTTGTTCATGTGAAGTGGATCAGGTGCCAAAGAAAAAACCTCTGCTAATGACAGAGCTTCCTGTCTCTTAAAGAAAAGTTGAGTTGTAGCAAGGTTGTAGACAGGAACTGCATTTTAACATTTTTATTTCTGCAATGCTGTGGCTTTGTTTTAGTAAAGCAAAAAATAATTATAAGTTTGACTTCTGCCTGAATACTTTTGTCTAATGTTTCAAACTTGAAGTAGGTTAGCACTGGACACTGTTCTGAGAATTTTGGAGGTGGGGGTTCCTTTTAATATAATCTTTAACCTGTTGTTAGCTTAGCATTACCTTAATTGTTTATTTTAGTAAACTTTCTTTGTCTTCTATATTTCATGTCTCAGGTTCTGGCCTGTGTTTTGGAGCAGAACCAGGACCGGTTCAGTCAGATGCTGGAGGTGGGGCTACAGCTGCAGTCCTTAGGCTGCAAGGGAGTAGGTGTCGTCACTGGTCAGCTGAGGGCACAATGGAGAATCCTCCACGTCAGGATGGACAGTGAACGCACCATGTTCAGTAAAATCAGAAAACTGAGATGCAGGTGAGAAACTAGATGTTTATTTGGAACTAAGTTGATCCACAGAGACAATCAGTTAGTTTGGTTCACAGCAACACTGCTGCCTCCTGTGGTCAGTTGGTGTCACTGAGGTAAATCTGAGCAGAGGATTTCAAACAGTAAGGTACAAAATAACACATTTGAAGTTAGTGATGGAGGCACCAAGTGCTGCTGTGTCACTGTGACCTAAAATCACTGATTTTCTCTATGGACTTTGGTCTGTGATGACTGTGGTGTGGGAGAGTGGGTGGTTTACAGAGTGGAACTCATCCAACCAGCAGTTACATGTTGTTTCCCACTGTATCTGCTCTGGACTGTAAAACCGTTTTGTGTTTGTTCACATAAACAGGTTTGATGTAGATTCTGCTCTTCTGTCTGGATGGATGGACAAGACCAGGGTTCAGATCAGAGACTGCAGTCACTTCACTCACACGGTCAGTCAGCAGATGGACACAGACCACAGTGGGCAGCTGTTTCTCCAGTGTGTGGTGAGCAGCAGTGAATAATACACTCCACTCCACAGCTCCTTCAACTGTTGTGTCATTTACAAGTCTCTGTCCTTCCGTTCTGCTCAACAGTACTAAAGTAAACCCCCATGTCCAACTGGGTGTCCACAACACACACACTGTCCATGTCATGTCCTTTTTTTTAATATCCCTAACTTCTAGGCCTTGTTGAAGCAGTTTGAAGCCCACTCTGACCTGAAGGTGGCAGTGATTGCTGTTGGTTCTCAGCTGGTCCAGTTGATGGAGTCAGGTGGATTCACTTATGCTGTTTGGGAGACAGACGATCAGACCTCAGCCCCACAGCTGTCCTCAGTCCAGTCACGGCTTAGACAGATGGAGGAGGACTGGTCCAGTCTGTGGACTCAACTTTCTGTCCTTCAACAAACTCTGCACAAGGTCAGGATTTCTGCACATTCTCAACTACAAAGATGAATGTAGGCAGTTTGACTAATCCTTGTTCGTGTTTGTCCACTATGATGTTGTAAAAAATGTGCATATCATGTGAGTTGTGCCACAAAAAATAAATCCTGACTCATATTTGAAATATTACTTGATTTGGAATGAGCCTAGAACCCACACTGCTGCTGCTGCTGCTGTTACTATTACTCATCCTTTCAATTAGTACCCCTCACCTCTGTGCACCCCCGACCCCACTGTGCAGTTCTGTCAGCTCTGAAGGCTCTTGTCACTCTCAGCAGTGAGATTTTCTGTCCTCCTGTCTTTTCTCTTTCTGATGTGTTTTTTCTTCAGCGTTTTCACACTTCCATCTTTTCTGGTCTCCCCTCCTCTTCCTCCTCTTTACTTGCTCTCACCTCCATCCTCCTGCTGTTCTTCTATTCTTCTGTTCTTGTTCTGGTCTCCTGAATATGTCTTTATCTGTCATCACATTTTACTCATCCTCCTCTTCCTCCTTTCTCTCTTTGTGGTCTTTCTAATTCAACTTTTAGAATAAAAACAAATGTTATTTAGCAACAGTTATTTATTTTTATTTTTACATACAGTACAGTTTTATTGCTGTGGGAGCAGCATGATGTTATTGAGTTATTTAGTAGTTCAGTGTCAAACCCAAATTAAAAATGTTTGTCATCTGGACCCTGACCCTTGTGTAAAAATGTTTCAGTTTTTTTTTATCTGGCTGAGGACACACATCATTTAGACTTTTTTCCACAGAGTGCAGTTTTTATCATGTAAATGGTAAATGCTTTTGGGGCTTTGCTTTTTTACTTTTTAATTTTGGCCATTAGAGAGAGCTGTAGCGCTCCATGTGTTTACAACACCAGTTAGAAGTAATTTTTTCCAGCCTGCAGTAATGACAGTGTATGGAAAAACATTTTAGCCTACACTACATCTTTACATGTGCATTATTTTCCCTTCCTCTGCTCCTCTTCAGCTATGGATGAAAACATTGACCCAGCAGGGGGCAGTAGTGGAGCTGCAAAGCTGGCTTCAATTTGAGTCTCAACTGAAGGACAATTGCATGAGAATCCACCAGAAGTCTTCAACTAAAGCTGAGTTGTTAGAGCTGCTGAAGTTCTGCAAGGTAGAAACTGACCTTTGGTAAAATATTTTGATCAATAAATTAATTTAAAAAAATCCAGTCTAAAATGTAACTTTTGCTGATTTTATCTCAGGAGTGCCAGGTGGACTTGTCAGCCCATAAGTACACACTGGAATATGTAAACCTGCCACTGCAGACATGCAGTACCAATGTTGGCCACATAGGACGCTACCAACACAACCAGTTTGCAGAAGAGCAGGGTCATCTTAACCACCTGTGGCTCAGCTTTGAGGAAAAACTCAACTCTCAGGTCAGAAGAATGAATCACAGCCAATGTATTACATTTCCACCAACCAGTGGAGTCACCAGGAGATCCATAACTGCTGTGGTCTAAAATCACTGGTTTCCTCTATGGACTTTGGTGTGGGAGAATGTGTGGTGATACTTGAACACTGTGATTTCAGATCCAGAAAACAGAGCAGGATTTGAAGAAGAGAACAGAGCTGGAGAAGCAACTTCAGCACATTAGGAGCTGGATCACAGACCAGAACCAGTGGATAGACTCGGCTCAGAGATCCAGCAGCAGAACAGAGGTGGAGCAGAACATCACCACCTGCAAGGTCTGAGGGAACACCTACACTCCCATGTTTCTAGTCAGGATAGACAGTGTATGGCTTCTCTGGATGTGGTGGAAAGTTTTTTTTCTTTTTTTTTTTCTTGTGTTCTCCTGTCTGTCAGGCTCTGGAGGAGAAGATCAGGATGAAGACCTCTGTCCTACAGGAGCTCAGAGAGAAGGGAAGTGATTTTACCGCTCTGGCAGATAAATCCTTGGAGGCCTGTGTCGCTCTGACCTCACAGGTCGGTAAAACAAAGACATTTATCTCCTGGTACAGCAGTGTTGTGTCCAGCTCCTGGTCACTCTCTGATCCCTGGTCTTTGACAGAACAACTCACTGCTGCAGAGGCTGCTCCACTCTCAGCAGCTGTGGGACTCTGTGGAGAACAGCCTGAGTCACATGACACGCAGAACAGCCAGAACATCACAGACTCTGGTTGTTCACAGTGACCCACAGCTCCACCTACAGGCCCACAGGGAGCTACACCAACAACTACAGGTATGACTGCTGCTGCTGCTCTGACACCTGAGAAAATACAGGAAGTACGATGAATCTAAATAACAATACTTTAAAACATTTCATGAGAAGAAATAACAGTCAGAATCAGTTAATATAAAATTTAAGGACGGGACAAAACTGTCAGCTAAAGGGCAGCAAAGGAATGGATACTAGGTACTCATTCAAGGTGCAGAAGTAGTATATTAAGTAATATATTACAGAAGTAGTAAAGGTTAATGAATGATTGAAGTTAAAGGTCTTTTACTTAAAATTACTACATAAACATGAGAAAATAAATGAACAATAGAAAAATAAACATCTTATTTTCTCCTGAGAAAAGACTATTGGGTCAGATGCGGGCCAGATGTGAGTGGTCCATGGGCCACGTCAAGCCCACGGACCAGGAGTCTGAAACACCTGATATATTTTTCCATCTAATTCTCATTATTTTCTGGTTTGGTTTAACCAGGGTTTACTCCTGAACTCATCATTAGTTAATAATCTGGCTGTGTTTAACTGTGATGTCGGACGGTTAATGTCAGGCCACGCCCTCCGTCATCTTTGACTGTGAGGTCATCAGTGTTAACCAAGCAGGTGTCCTGACTGGTTTTGCAGCATCTTCACGAACAGTCAGAAGCTGCAGATTCTGAGTGGAACCAGCTGAGTCAGCTCATCTCCTCCCTCTGTGACATCATCAGACCCTCTGCTGCACTTCTCCTCAAAGAGAGGCTGGACAGACAGAGACACAGGTGACACACACACACACACGCTCACACACACACTCAGTACACATGGATACACACGTTCACGGCCGTTTTGCTCTCCCATGTCTTTCAGCTGGACGTTGGTCTCAGCAGATCTGCTCCGGCGCCTCCAGAGGAGTCAGGAGATCCTGCAGGAGTGGGAGAAGTTCTCAGATCTGTCCAAGTCTTTGTCCCTTCAGTTGAAGACTCTCCAGGAGGAAACAGTGTCCACTCTGAGTGATAATCCTGCATACGATGCCGAGGAGCAGCTCACCATCAAACTTCATAAAGTTCAGGTTAGAAAATTAAAAAAAATAATTTCTAAACACTGTAGATTTATTGTAAAGAAACTCATCTGGGATAATTATTAACAAAAAAAACCCATGATGAACTGAGGAAATTGCTTTATCTCAGCTCGAAAATGGTTTGAAAAAGATAACTTAAACTTTAGGGCTAATTGAATAATATATCTAAAAAAGCTAATTGATTGGTTTTGATTGATAAAATTACTTTTATTATACTATAATTATGAAAAAAGATAACTATATATCTTTTAGTCAAAAATCCACATAATTAAATAAAGTATGATTAAAATCAACCTCCGTTACAAAACATTGCCAAAAATCGTTAATTATGGAAAAAGCTGTTGCTAAGACTGGTAAATATTAGCAAATGTAAATATGATAAAGTAGCTAATGTTTACCCCAGGAGCTAAGAGTTAGCTAAAAGAAATTATTTCCTTTCCTCTTCTATCCAGACTCTCCTCCAGAAGAGTGAAGCTCTTCACTCTGACCTGGAGATGGTGCTGGAATCCTCCAAGGCCTTGACCCTTCTCCTGGAGCCATCAGTTGCAGCTCTGGTCCAATCAGAGAGCAGACTGTTGTCACGTGGTGTCCTGCAGCTCAACCAGGAGCTGGCACTGAAGATGGGTCGGCTTGAGGTGAGACCTTCATTCATGAAAGCTCAGTGTTTGTGTCTGGGAGCTCACAGCTGTCAGGTACACACACACACACACACACTTACACACTTCATCCTCCTGCCTCTTGAGTCCAGGCTTAAGTTTCATGCTGCCGACCCAAATCCAGTGGATCCAGAATTTCCTGACATATGTTCTGTGTGTTCTTATTTCTGCAGGATGACCTGAAGCAGCTGCAGAACTTCTCTTCAGTCCTGGACTCTTTGGACAGGAACCTGGAGATGTGGCAGCAGAGTCTGGAGATGGCAGCCAAGTCTCAGAGGGGGGATCAGGTAAGACCCTGACTCTTCTGAATTAGAGCCTGTAAACTTCAGGAAGAGATTTTTTTTTTTTTTTAATGAGATTCCAAATGAGCTCATTGGCTAATGTTTAGATTCAACAGCTAACATTTAGCTTTTATCTTCTTTAGCATTTAAAACTGAAAGCTATTTTCTTTTATATTATATATTATAACTGTTGATGCTAATGTCTCACTTTTACTTCCTGTTAGCTTACTTTTACCTGGTGTTTTAGCAAAATTCAGAAAATAATGAATGGTTTATCTTATATTTAGACACCAGGCATTTGGTTTAAATGGCATGTGTTCTTTACAGTGCATGACACGCCACAATTGATTTCAACAATATTGAGAACTTTATTAATGAAATTGTAGAATACTGAAGTTCAGTTACGGATTTGTTGTTCAAAACCGTCTGTAATGCTACATTGATTAAAGAGCTAATTTTTCTTTAGTTGGAGCTACAGTATGCAATCTCATTCTGACCAGAAACAGAACACTACAGTGTGTGTGCAGACACGCGGTTTGCATGACCTACAGTCGGTCTGCTGTACTGAGGCCTCCATCTGTTCTCAGCCTGAGCTGCTGCAGCTCAGCACTCTGTCTGCTGACCTGGATCTTCTCAACGAGCTGAGCTGCAGCCTGACGCTGGGAGACGATGCTGCACGACGCCTCAGACACATCAACCAACGCTGGACTGACACCTCTGCCCGAGCTGAGGAGATGAGCAGGTCAATAAATGGAGGAAGGAAGATGTGGTCGTAACAATGTGTTGAATTGAGTTGATGTTAAAGGTGGAAAATACTACAAATAAAAAACAGGAAACAAATGACAGCAAAGTTTCTGTGGATAAAAACCAACCATAACCAGGGAAGCTTGGACACCAATTCATGTTATTTCTATAACATTTCTTCATTTTCCACCAATTTAAAAAGTGGAAAATTTCAGTGAAAAAATTGTAAATATTATACTTTAAAAAGTATAATATACAGGTATTGTGATTGAATAATACTTCAATAATTTAAGTATTTGTTTTTGTAATCAAAGTTCATATTTATATTCATCTAAAGGTTAGCCATACATGAAATCATTTTACTTATAAGAGCTAATTGTTGGACACAATCAAACCAAATAAATAGTCAGTGGAAAGAAGCTGAAAGAAGTAAAGCCAACATTTAGGTAGTCTTCAGGTCAAAGGTCAAATATTTAATGATTTATTAACCATTAATTGACTAAAGTTGACTAACACCTGATCAGCTGTATGGCTAGTTCAGTCACCATCAGTTGTTCTGCTTTTAAAACCAGCTGAAACCAGTCTGTTAGTAAGAATCAGCTTTCAGTTAGCTTAATCAATGCTAAAAATTAGTCTCAAATTATACAAATGGAACCTGACGCTAGGATGTGTGTGTTTGTGTGTATATATGTGTGTGTGTGTGTGTTTGTTCTGTGTGCAGTGAGCTGCAGACTGAGTCCCTGAAGCAGCAGGACTTTCAGCAGAAGTGTCAGGGCTGGATGTCCTTCCTGCAGAGGATGGAGGAGAACCTGGCTGTGGACGTGGCTGGATCTTACTCTGGACTCAGGCAGCAGCTCCGCACACACAAGGTGACGCAGCCCCATCAACACACACACACACACACACACACACACTTCTCCAGGTGTTCTTCATAGTCCGTGTCCTGGTGCTTTCAGAGGTTCCAGGCTGAACTGACGACTGGTCACATGATCCTCCACTCAGTCATCGGTGAAGCTCTTCTTCTGCTGCAGAGAGGAGAGGTGGAGGACAGGTGAGAAGCGCACACTCTGGAGACACAGCTGAGCTCACTGTTATCAAAAAAGTCTCTGGTACCGATCTTGGTTTCTTTGATGATGGTTATTACTAGACTGTTTCTAATTGATACCATCAGGATGGAAACGTCCTTCAGTGTCCCTGCTTCTTGATCCAGTGATAGTAGGGAACAGTCTCACATTCTTTGTAGTTCCTTCAGTGTAAACACACAGTGACTGGAACTGTTTCTCAGTCAAGGTGTGGACAGTTGGTATTTTTAGTCCTAAATAAAGATGGTTCTTGGTACTTTACCTTCTTCCCTGTTTCTACTGTAGAAGAAGTCTTTTCTAACTTGTCATTTTCTGGGTTTACCTTTAGCGTAGTTCTGGCTAGTTTTAACTCTTTGCCAGATCATATTGACCTAGCTTTATTTGGCCTTTAATTTATTATGTGGCTAACTTTTAGCCTAACTTGTATTTTTTTGCTTATGGTTAGCTACTCTGAGTAATATTCATCTGTCCTTTAACTTAGATCTAAAGTTTATAGATTTTTAGCGCCACCTGCGTGTCCAATTTTTTTCATGTTGGCTCCACCTCAAACTTCACTGCTGTGCTCATGTTTTCAGGAGTGACTTCCGGCTGAAACTGGCTCAGCTGAGGCAGCGCGGTGCTACGTGCAGACCAACGGCGCTCCCTGGTGGAAGGTCTACTAAAAAACTGGCACCAGTACAACCGCAGCCTGAAGAAGCTGCAGAGGTTCCTGTCTGACACTCATGCTCTACTACCGCCCACTGGTCCACCACGCTGCAGCCTACAGCAGCTCAGATGCTCACTGAGACACCTACAGGTGTGGCCAAAAATTACATGGACTGAGGGTTTGACTCTTTCTCAGTGTATGATGAGAAATGTAACATTGAAACAGTTTTATTTTACTTTAACTTGAAGGATATAATTCAGATTTTATTTAAATTATTGCCTTTAATTTTCAGTTTAAGATAAAACATCAATCACATTCATTCAGAAATGTTGATCCCAGATATAACTGGATAACAACACATTTAAAACTTGACTTAATATCAGTAACACGTAAAATGTGTTTGATTTTGGATGTAAATGTACAGAATGTTCTGGAAATGTCTGCCTAGAACACTGACGCTAAAGTAGGAGTTCTGACATTGTCAGGTTCACAAGGCTCCAGTCCAGGTTTTTCAAATTAAACTAATGTTATTCATCCCCCATGGGGACAAAATTAAACTAATGTTATTCATCCCCCAGGAGCCATTGCAGGGTAATTCGATTTTTAACTAAATTAAAATAAGTTAAATAGTTTAATCTCCATATTTTCAAAAGTTAAAAACATTCCCCTTGAACATTGTTGTGTTTAAATGTTTTTTGCCTTCAGTCCAGACGTCTGAATGGTTAATCTCATTACAGACTGAAACTGTCGTACTTGATCAAAGGGAAATGAAAAAAGGAGAAGGAGAGTTTATCATTAGCATAACAACAAAGAAGATCACTTAGAGTGAAAATGGAACAGATGATTTTACTGTACTTCACCGACTGACCTCAGACTGACCTGAGCTGAGACCAATCAGATCAGTCCTGGTCTGATTGGTCTCACCTGCGTCCTAACCGCCCCTTCCTTCTCCTCCTCAGCACACAGAGCTGCTCTTCCAGAGGTACCAGTGCAGCTTCCTCCACACTCTGGAGCTGGGACGGCAGCTCTTCTCCATGGGGGACGAGGAGACGCAGACACGGCTGCAGGAGGACCTGGGAACCCTGCAGGAGGACTGGGAGAACCTCCACAACCTGCTGGGCCACAGGATGGACCTGACAGAAGCCATAGTCCAGGTACCACGGTTCTGCTCACTCAGGACCAACTAACACTGGTGTTCAACAGAGAGATGGTTCAAGGTCCTGACTTAAGTTTTCTGTTATTAATTGTCTTTTCACTGTACTGTAATTCACCCACTTTTAGCTTTCCACTAAATAACATTTCACTGGATACATTGTAGCTGCTTTTTTAGCTAACTTAACTTTTTATACAGTAGCTTTGTATACAAGCAACATTCTAGCTGAAAAAGGTTCTTTTAAAACCACATTTCTCTTCAGTGACCAGTTCCACACTGTTGTGTTGTTTTTTTTTGTTTGTTTGTTTTTTTGTCTTGTCTTGCGCGCGCCTTCTTGATTAACTTTAGGCTAGTTTTGGTATAACATTTGTGCTAATTATCCTTGGCTTATTTTTATACATTTCATTTTTATATTTGTATCCTGTATCTGCTTAACCCCTTATCAGGTCTAATTCTGTCAAACATTTACTGACAACTTTTCTTCACTGGCAGATTTTTACAGTGCTAAGTTTAGGAAGTGGTAAAAGAAAAGCCAAGATTGTCATTGTAAATATTTAATGTTTTAATTATATATTTCTTTAAAGATTTTCTGGAATCATATTTTCTATTTGGTCATAAGCTTTGGGACACCTCTAACAAGTCTGATTTTTATTGTGGTGGGTCTCAGAACTGGGAGCGCTGTGAGGCAAAACTAGCCGAGCACATGCTGCAGCTGAAGGAGATTAAGACCAGACTGAACCAGTCGATGCCTGAGAGCGACGATGAGCTGCACAGTGCTGAGAAGTTCCACAAGGTACAACTGCACAAAGTACACACAGACCAACAGGTCTGTCAGCACATTTTCTCTTCCTGTCATTGGTCCTGTGATTTGATTGCATTGGAACTCTAAGTAGTAATCTGATTGGCTGATTTAACCCTGTGTGTGTGTGTGCGCGCGCCTTTCTGTTTAAGGTCCCATGAGTTTCATCATCACATTTAGATCTAAACAAGACTCTAAGTTTACATGTATAATATGTCCAGTGTTTTTGCCCCTTTGGCACCCCCCCCCTACCCCCACACACACCCACACACACCCACACACACACACACACACACACAACACACCCTAGCACATACACCCCACCATTTGAGCTAAGAGGGACAAAGGAGCTGCTGGTCCACTACTGCCTCCTGTGGTCACCTTGTGTCACTGATGTCAGTCTGGTAGAATGGCTTTGAACTCAGTGATGGAGGCAGTGATGATCAACAAGTGCTGTGTCTCTGTGGGCTTAAATCTCTGGAAAAGTCATTCTTACAGGACAAAACAGACAAACTTATAGGGAATAATGAAGACGACTGGAGGTGAAACATAAAATCTGTCACAGCAGTTTTAATATTTAACAGATTTATGGTTTGTCACCATATAAATGAAGTACCAATATCAGGGTCACAGACAGAGTCAGGAATTAGGTTATACAGACACACAGTCAGACAGATGGAGAGAGGGTCACAGAGGGAGAGAGAGAGATGACCTCAGGCCCCAGGTCCCCTGTTTGTTTTAGAGGAAACTGTCCCTTTGTGAATGAGAGAAGCTACCTTTAAAACCAGTTTGACTCAGAACTCACTTCCTCTCTGATCCATCTCAACCTTTGCACACACACACACACACTCCTCCTCCTTTCTGTCCAACAAACCCTCCCCCCTCCACTGTCAGCCCTCCCCTCACACTCCCCCAGGCCACAGGCCCTTAATCCTCTGTGGGTGGAGACGATATCAGAGAGACAGGGGCAGAGAAAGAAAGTGGGCTGTGACAGAGATAGTGGGCTGACACACACACACACACACCCACTCCTCCTCCTTTCTCCTCCTCCTTTCTGTCCAACAAACCCTTCCCCCTCCACTGTCAGCCCTCCCCTCACCCTCTCCCAGGCCACAGGCCCTTAATCCTCTGTGGGTGGAGACGATGTCAGAGAGACAGGGGCAGAGAAAGAAAGTGGGCTGTGACAGAGATAGTGGGCTGACACACACACACACACACAGAAGTTGGTTAGGTTGTCCCAAGGACAGAGAGCTGCTGGACAGGCCCTGACTGTCTCCTCTGGTATGCAGGAGACCCAGGACTCCTTGGTGGACTGGGCTGAGAGCCTGACGGAGCTGAGCACCATGAAGACAGACCTGTCCCAGTACATCATGGCTGAGGACGTTCTACTGCTGCAGGAGCAGGTGGAGCACCTGAGGTGTCAGTGGGAGGAGCTGTGTAACAAGGTCAGAGTCACTGAGCTGATGTTGGAGACACACTGGAGCCATGTGTTTACAGTGTGGTGGTTTTTTCTTTTAGTTTTAGTTTAAACCCTGCAATTATCCTGCTTTGGTGAGAGTCCAGAAAAACAAGTTCAGAGAAGATAGAAATGTTTGCTGTGGAAATCAAAACAAACGGTAAACAATGAAATACCGTAATGCTATCTGGGAATTATAGAGAATTATAAAATAGAGTTTAGAAATATTTTTTTAAACAATGCTTCAAAGATTGATTAAATGTGGAAATCAACAAAAAATATGAAAACTTGAATCTTTAAAACCTGATGACACAGGCTATGTTGAAAAATGAATCAGCGAGCTAATAATTTACATTGAATATATATCTGAAACGTACACAGTGTTAAAGTTAGTCTCACTCAAAGCTAAAAGTTTGACAAAGGATAAAAATGTCCTAGAATCTTAGCTGAGTTCGTTGATTAAAAAAATTAAGTTATTTTTCTGTCCCAACTCTTTTTTTTACGTGTTACTACTGTTGATTAATATTAACAAATATATAAACTGAGTACAAAAAAGAAATTGGTGAGACCTGAGTTTTTTTTTCTTGAGGTTCAAATAAATCCGACTCTCCTCTGAATCCATTCTGATCCTCAGACAGAGCCTAACAGTCTGGTTAACGACTGAAGCATCAGTGACGAGAAGAAAAACACAAACAAACAAACAAACAAACATGTCTCACACTTTTCTTCCTCCTGCTACTTCAACAACAGCTGTAACCATCTCATCAACATTCTCCTGTGTGTGTGTGTTTCAGGTGTCTCTACGTAAGCAGGAGATCGCCGACCGCCTCAATGCCTGGATCATCTTCAACCAGAAGAACAAGGAACTGTGTGAGTGGCTCACACAGATGGAGAACACGGTGATGGACGACTCCCAGCTCAACATCGAGGAGATGGTGGAGAAGCTGAAGAAGGTGAGAGGATGGAGGCCAGGTCAACTCTGGTTATGGTCTGGTCCCTGACAGACTTCACCAGGACGACCTTAGACTCCTGTTTGAGACACTGCTGTTTAGTCCTTCCAGTGTTGTGGGTGAGCGAGGTGTGTAGTCAAGTCAGTTATATCTGTTCAGTCCAGTTTCACAAAAGACATTTTTACATTTTAGTTATTGGTTGATTTAGAAAATAAATCAAATCTGTCCCAAAGAACACTGAAATGGGAAAAAAAATCCAAAATTAAATGACCAAGACAAAAAAAGATCAAGACAAAAATCAGATTTCTTTTTTCAACATTTTTAGGAAAACCAGAACAGATCAGACACTGAGCAGAGCTGTGGAGACAGAGAGAGCAGCTTCAGACAAGGAGGGGTGTGGGGTGTGTGTAGGAGGGTAGGGCAGGAGCAGACAAGCAACACTACAATCCACATACAGTCAGACAGGCTGTTAAAATGCTAACGGTACAGTTGTAGAGAAGACCATTGGTGTCTGAGGATTCTGTTGATAAAATATATCACCAAAAACAGTCCGTCAACACACCTCAATAATCCAGAAACTCTGGAACTGTGATGTGTTTAAACAACACCGCCATGCTGTTGCCTGGTCATGTGACTTGGGTTTTTTCTGGAGGCGGGGTTTTTGAAGGTCCATCAGTCGAAGTCTTTTCAATGGAGAAGCAGTGAATTTTCTCCTGATTGTTGAGGCGACAGCTGTTGGAGCCACAGCAGGAACACACATCACTGGGCCTTTTTATTACGGACAGTTAAACCACATCTTATTACCTTCAGGCGGGGAGAAGGGTGGGTTGTTGAGAGTTTTCACCCTGAAAGTTTGCAGCAGAGATGAGTGACTTTGTACAAAAAAAAAGTTAAAAACTTGGGAGAATTACCTTAAATATTATTTTTAAAAGTGACAACAAAGCTCTCTCTTGTTAAGAATTATCTTAAATTGACAAAAGTGACAACAAAGCTCTCTCTTGTTGCTCTCTCTTGTTGCTCATTTCAACTGTCCTGTGCCTCATTTTCCCTACCTTTACCTTCATCTCTTCTCTCCTCTTTTTTTTTCATTTCAACTGGTTCCAAATGAAGCCATGATGGCGCCTGTTATTGTGTCAGTGGTTTGCTGAGTTTTGGTCATGAACCTTGAAACCTCCTGGTCCTGGAGTACAGCTGTGAGGTGGAAACAGGCCGCTGCAGCACTGACCTGTAGGAAATCCAGACAGTGTCCTGATTCCTCCTCCTTCTCCTCCTCCCAGGACTGTATGGAGGAGATCAACCTCTTCAGTGAGAACAAAACCCACCTGAAGCAGCTGGGAGAGCAGATCATCACAGCCAGCAACAAGACCAAGGAGACGGAGGTCAACCAGAAGCTGAGCGACGTCAATGACCGCTGGCAGCATCTGTTCCACCACATTGAAGCCAGGTAGGAACCAGTAGAACCAGTGGAACCAGAACAACAGTAGTGGTGGTCTCAGGGCAGTGTGGAGAACGTGTGGTTCTGGGTTTGTTCTGCAGCTCTGGGTTGACATCAGTGGAGACTCTATCGGTCACATGTTTTAAACTATCCTTTAGATTCCAGTACGAAATATGAATAAAAAATGTTTATGCTACAGAAGCTAATGGGAAAATGTACCTTATGTGAACTTTAAATAAATCATCATAGTGAATTTTCAGAGATTTAGAAAACTTCTTGTTGACCTCTGACCCAGACTGCTGCTGCAGTACAAACACAGATGTGGTTGTATTTTAGTGACTCTGTATCTTTATGAAACAGGTGATGTTCCTGGGCTGACAGGACAGTTTTTCAGGATTCTCTTTTTTCCCCTGGGAGGAAACTGTTCTGTCACTGATTACACTCATTACAGTGGTCACTGTGGGCTCTGTGACAAACAACAGGACACAGGCTTCACTACAGCGTCTGACGGAGGCTGTAAGAGAGGTGAAACCAGGAAGGTGTGTTGGTTTGGAGGTTTGGAGGAGATTTTTCAATGGGAGGTAAAATGTGAAGTGGAGGGAGGTGAAGAACAGACCAGGACAGAACGGATAAAACACTAGGGGGAGGGCAGGGGGGAGAGCAGAGAGGCTGTTAGTCCTGACTGATTCCCATGATTTAACAGAACTAAACTGTACAGTGACTGTTGACTGTTATTGTAGCACAGTATCTTAATTAAGTTGATTCTACACTAGTCTCTGACAGACTGACCTTTAACTACTGATTGGCCAAGTAGCTACAGTTTTAGGCAGTGTTTTACTGCTTTAATATATTAACATGATTTATGTTAATATCTGCTGCTCCTCATGGTAACTAAGAATTTCTTCAGCTGCTAGTAGCTGCCTCCGCTGACCTGGCTATTTATACATATTTTTATGTCTATCCCTTAAAGCGATCCTCTTTAAACAACCTGTCCTCTGAGCGACAACAGTCACGGTTCTCTAGTGCTGGGCAGTCACATGACCTGTGAAGGTCTGCTGTCATGTGATACATCTGAGTGGATTTCTGGAGTAATAAATGTTGAACGTTTTTGTTTATTGTTGTGGAATGGGAGTGAAGTCCAAACTCATTATCGTCATTATCTTTGTGACGCTGATGAACGTTGGTCCAAACGTTCTCTAACAGTTTCCTGCTCTTCACTGATCACGATGTGATTAAATCAAAGTGGAGCAGTGTGACAGCTGCACATTCCACCACTGACACTGGGCTCGTGCTGCAGCAGCTCATTAACAGGCTTAACCTCATTACTACGGCTACGAGGAGGAGGAGGAGGAGGAGGAGGAGGGAGAGGACAGGTCTGCACTATGGTGGGATTATTCTCCCCCTCCACTCTAGTACCTTTTCATGGGTTAGATCTGTGTTCATCACTATATAATCTGGTCTGAACCACTTGAAGTAGAAGAGTGGGGCTCTGCTGAAAGAATTGTCTCTTGGTTTATTAGCACACAATCTAAAACAACAAAAATAATAAAAATCTTAAACTAATTTTTATAATACTAAATATTTTGACCGGTAGTTGTAAGAACTGTTGCAGGTTTTGTGGATTGATGGGGTTGGACCTTTCTGTGGCAACTGGTGTCATCAATAAAAAAACAGAACGCTTCATTTTCTCTACTTCCTGTTGTCTTATCACTCTGCTTCCTGTTGTGTTATGATTCTACTTCCTGTTGTCTTGTCACTCTACTTCCTGTTGTTTTCTGCCTGTACTTCCTGTGTCCTAGCCTCTCTTTTTCATTGGCTGTTGTCAAGCCCCGTTTACAGATGACTCAGTCCTCGGTTCACTGTACCTGACTGTGTCCAGATTGACAGTGATTGAGGTCAGGTCTGTTGTGCTCACACACTAACAGTGAGTATGAACTGACCATGATGACGGTCACAGTGAGTCAGCACATAACACTAAGGCTCTGGAGCTAAATCTCACTGCTGACTTTCAATAAATATTTTTTAAGCGAACCTGTTTCTGATCAGTGCTCCTCAGTATTATTGCCTCTCAGCGTTACCTTGTTGAACTTTTATAATGTCTGGGTTTCTATGTTTCATATTTTTAATAGAGTATTTTCATACTATGCTTGATGTTTGTGTTTGATTTTATAAAGCGGTTATAAGTCTCCACAGACTTAATTAAATGAAGGTTAAATAGTATTGCAAACAACACTTCTGAGAACATTCTGACACAGTTGGTGTAGGTTAAGGCCCACAATCAGTTGAGTTTTTGTTGTTGTGTTGGTCAGAGTCCTTCAGAACTGAGTCACATGTTTGGATAGGTTCTGATGTGGCAGCAGAGGAAACGTTTCTTTGTTTTTGTTTCGCTTCACTTACTGTGGGACGATGACCTGCTGGTTGGATTAGAAGAGTCAACACCGACTCTCTGCTGCTCTTTGTCTCTAAAACAAACCGGTAGCTGCAGCTGCTGTTGCTACTGTTACTGATGCTACTGATGCTGCTGCTAAACACCAGGCTTTGTCCCCTCAGCCTCAGGGGCCACTGTCAGGGGCCGACATCCTGTCTCTGTGTCTTCAGTTTGTGTGTTTGTGTGTGAGATGCAGCTGTATGTTTTTCTAACTCTAATCTGCTGCTCCTCAGTCTCCTCACACCTGCTGCGTGTTTATGACTTTAGAGTGTTTGCCTCTGAATGACAATTGTTTTGACTCTGATGTAGACTACGACGAAGATGAGTCTTTATTAAGATGCTGTAAATCTGGTCGTCATGGTGAGCATGCTGAGTTTTCTCTGCCTGTTGCCAAGAAGGTCTGTGGAGTGGGGGATAATAGATGTAATTTGATATTGAAGAACCTGTGATAAAAAGAACTGAGACTCTGAGAAGAACTGACCTAGAGTCTGCTGTAGCCTCTGATCGAGACCTGGACAAACTTTCTTCAAACCCCTACACTGCTTTATTTTACTCTAGTTAACAACAGAAATCTCCACCAGTGTTGATTAGTTTTTCTTAATGGATACTGTATTTATGAAAATTGCATTGTTATAATAAAGATAACTTTATGACAGATTTACTTTAAAATTGTTTGATAAATTCAATCCAGCATTAAAACCAACATGAGGGAAAAATCCCCTTCAGTGCTGTTGTGTACCAGGAATAGACCACGTCCCCCTGGTTGGGAAGCACTGATTATGCAGAAGCGACTGTTTGCTGTCGACGACAGTTTCATCGGCTTCAGATTGACTGTACGTCTTTATTTATTTACTGTTTTGTCCATTCACTGTAATCCTGCTGCTGCTCCACCTGTTGCTTTGCTCAAGCTCCACTCTGTGATTTACTGATGTCATTAACTCAGTGTGAAGCTGTAGGCTGGTGTGTTTGTAAAGGAACACGGTGGCAGATGGAGATTTTCCAGCTACGGCTCTTGTGTCTTCCTGCTGCCTTTTAAAGTCGTGCTAATGTGGCTCAGTGAGCTGCACCTGTAATCTGCTGCTCACCACCTGGACCTGGATCTGTTCAATGTCCACTGCTTTGTTTCCGCTTCAAACACTCATTCTTCTTCTAGTGCAAAAGCCCTTTAAAATGTTCATATATACCCTTTAAATTCTAAACCATGTCCCTGGAAACAACATTGTTCATTTAAGGAAAGCCTTGTTAGAAAATGTCCAGTCAGGCTTCTGTAGTTATATCAACAGGTAGCTGTGAGGTAGCTACATAAATACAGCTAAACGTTAGCCTTAAAATAGTTAAAAATGACCTCAAACTTTTGCCAAAACAGCCGTTGCCTGTTAGCAAAAGATATGGCATAAAAAATGAAACAAATCTTGGTTGGCCAAGGCACAGTCAAAAATGACTGTTTTTGGCCTGAAAAGCTTACACGTAGTTTTAGTTTTCCATAAAGTAGCGTATAATAAAATGACATTGAAATAAAAACTGACAATTAATGACCTGAAAAGGGGTTTTAATCAGTTTTACTAATCTGTTGTTAACTTTTAGTTATTACTTAGATATGTTATCTTTTATATTTTTGGCCTTTTTGTTGTCTAGCTAAAGTTAACCATAAACCTAAAGCTTGTTGTCATCACTAGTAACTATTATTTATTTGTTTTTGCTATTTTCATACTTTACATAACCTGTAGGTACTTTTTCAAACTTCTACAGATTTTTAGGCCTGCTGTATTGTTTTCAGTGTTACTTTGTTTGTACTTTTGTACATCCATCTTTAAGCTATCATTTGCTTTTTTATTTTTTTTTTCGGTAGGTCGACTTTCAGTTAATTTGGTTGGTTAAAAATAATTTAAAATGGACATAAAATGACAAAACAAAAATAACTGCTAAATTAAATTAGTTAGCCAAAGATACTGCAAAAAAAAGATTTAAATTTTTTTTGAAAGTTTGGCTTTTTTGCAGACCCAACCAGTTTTTTTGAAGAGGTTAAAAAGGGAGGAGGAGGAGGAGCAGTAGCAGTGACGCTGGTCAGGTGGTGGTGGTGGGTGTTGCTAAGTGATTACATGGCGTAACCTCCTCACCAGCCTGTGAGTACCTCTGATCGTCGTCTCTTCCTGAGGAGGCAGACCAGGGAAACAATCAGGAGATGTAGATCAGATGTGGAGGAGGAGAGAGAAAGAAGAGGAGGAGAGCAGGAGCAGAGGGGGAGGAGGGCACGCTGAGATTAGTCAGTGATGGCATGAAGGCACAGAGAACGAACAGAATCCCTTCAGCTGCTGACGATGAGTGTGCATCGGTTAAAATGGGTGTTTGTGTGTGTTTGTGTGTGTGTTTTTTATGTCATATACCTGCTGTTCACCCTCTACGCCCCACTAACTGCTACACAAATGCTACCTCACAATAATGCATGCATCAGAAATGAACTGGGGTTTGTTGTAGGAGCACGGACACACAGACACAGAGGTCACTGTAATACCCTGCTGTGCTGTGTCAATGAGGTTAAATAAACAGCTAATGCGCTAGCTATAAAATAGCTATGAAAATAGCCAATAATAATACAGATAATAATAATAATAATACTATTGGTCCATATATAGATGTGTGAAACACATTGACTGATGATGTGGCCAGGAATTTAAAACAGGTCTGACTGAGTTCCTGCCGTCTGATTCTTTATTTCCGCAGAAAAACTCCAAACCAACCTTAAATAAAACACAAATGCATTACATTAGCAGAGGGGAAAAGTTGACCAAAATTAATTGAGGTTGACTGAAGCTCTTAACATAATTTCTTGGATCTCTATTTCAGGTTAACTTACTACCTTACAGTAGAAAAATATTTTTAACCCTTGCCAAAATAAAATCACTAAATATTCAGCAAAAAAACTAATATGGTAATGTAGAAATGAAATTGTAAAAGACCGTCACGTTGACCTTTACCACCTTAAAAAGAAGTCTGTGTTTACTTTTCATAGACAGTCTACAGCTCACATGTTGATTGAACGCTGAGTGTGTGCCTATGTGTCTGGGACTCACAAAGCAGATGTAGGTCATTGTCAACAGGAATCCATCTCATGTAGGTCAAACTGTGGCTCATGTCTGTACAGGCTCTTGTTTGTGTCCTGGAAATTATAGTAATATTGTACATGCAATGTGTTTTTCCCACAAACTAACGACCTGAGACACAGTGGTGTGATTTCAAACAGTCATGGTGACACGGTTCTTGTCCTTCTACCCAGGGTGAGGAAGCTGAAGGAGACTTTAGTGACGGTCCAACAGCTGGACAAGAACATGAGTAACCTGCGAACGTGGCTGTCGTGCATCGAGGCTGAGCTCTCCAAACCTGTCGTCTACGTCACCTGTCGCAGCGAGGAGATCCAGCAGAAACTCTCAGAGCAGCAGGTGAGCATGAACCTCAGTCCTCTAACCACTGTGTATTTTTATACTGTAGTCTACGTCAACTTAAGGAGATGAAAATTACATATTTTATATTGAACTGTACCAGGGTCTATTGAGAAAATCAGTGATTTTAGCTCTTGCAGACAGGAACTGCTGGTCAACTGCTGCCTCCTGTGGTCAGTTTGTGTCACTGACATAAATGTGGAAAAAGTTTTTCAAACTGTGAAGTAGAATAATTACAGAATTGCTTTTGTGATGGAGGCGGATGTGGACTTTGACACTTGTCAAATGTCATAAAGAAAAGAATAAAAATTGTTTGTGTTTTTAAATGTACATTTGATGATTATTTAGGACATTTGTCACCATCTGTTGATGTCATTTGTTGAACATGTGTTATTGATCTTTAGACACAAGCACATTGACACAAGCAGTACATTTAACACAGACTAACGTCGAGAGTGGATGTGTTGTACATCATGCTTTTAAGAATGTTTTTTTTCTTTCCGCGGGTGAGACCTGACAGGTCCTGCTGTTCCCCCCAACTGTGTTAAAAGTCAGTCCTCAGAGACAACTCAGCTGTCCTCCTTCCACTAATGGACACTACTCTACAGTACTTTTCTAAGAAAACCCACTCTAGCTGCCTGCCTCTGTTCCTTTTCTTTCACCTCCTGTGAAGCCACACACACTCTGTCCTTTTAGTAAAAGTAGCAGCAGCACAAACTCAGTCCATTTGTCTCCTGTCACCTTGGTCTGGGTCTGACTAATAAAAAACAAACTGTGAAAACACAACTGTAATTCCTTTTTTACTGACATCTTTGTGAAAATGATCAGTTCTTCATAATGAACATCAGCACCAGTGACAACACCTTTGGTCATCGATGACTCCAGCTGGTCTGACTGTTGTTCAAGGTCTGTCAGATAAATTCAGTCCAACAGAAAAAAATCCATGTTTTCTTTGGAGTGAAGTTCAAACAGACAGAATGGATCAAAGACAACACAAAGGTTATAAGAAGTGTCAAACTTAAAGCTTGTGGCCCAAATATGGTCTGCCATCTTAATTATAATGGCCCAGGTGGCTGTCGAAGCAGATGGCTACTTATAAGAAGTTAGGGCAACTTAGGAGCATGTTTAGGACAAACTACAACCCCCACAATGCATTTAGAGTTTGCGACCCACAGTGAAAGTTTCCCACCACTAGATAGCAGTGTTTTTACATCAACTATTAACACAACCAGCAAGTTGTTAAAACATTTTATATTTATGTTTATGTATATCATTTGTAATACCTTGTATTCCTAGTGTTAACAGTCTGTTAACTGTTAACCTTGTATAAGCAATGTGATGGAGTAATAACTGTAGTACAGTCATCAGCCATGATGTCTCCAAATGTCCAAATAAACTTGTTTTTGGACATTCTACTGTGGTACAGATGATGAAACTTCTCTCTCTCCAATTTTTAACCTCAGGACCTGCAGCGTGACATTGAACGGCACACTGAGAGCGTAACGTCTGTACTGACACTGTGTGACGTCCTGCTCCGTGATGCTGACGCCTGTGGAGCAGGAGGAGACGGTGAGAATGACTCCATCCAGCAGACCACCAGGAGTCTGGACCGACGCTGGAGGAACATCTGCGCCATGTCCATGGAGAGGAGGATGAGGTGAGGGTGAAGGATGGAGAGAGGGCTTAGGATGTCCACCATGATGTTGATGATGATGATGATGATGATGATCGTTAATTTAAAAACAAACAGACATCATTTTGATGTTGTGTTTTGCAGACTTTTCTTCTTGTAGAAAGTTTGCCAACTTTAACCTTGATATTTCTGTGACTTCAGCTTTTTCTTGGCCAACAACTGGCAGATGATGCTCAATTTCCTTTTCTCACCCACTTCACAAGTTCACTTTTAGCCTCTTTTTATATACCTTTTACTGGTTGTAATCTAGAAGCAAATACATAATTAATAACAATCAAGTTAACGCTAACATTAGTGTAAAAGTCCGAATACCTGTTCCTCTTTTTGTCTTAGGATCGAAGAAACCTGGCGTCTGTGGTGTAAGTTCCTGGACGACTATACTCACTTCGAGGACTGGCTGAAGGCGGCGGAGGTCACGGCTGCCAACCCTGACTCTGCTGATGTTCTTTACACCAGCGCCAAGGAGCAACTAAAGAAGTTTGAGGTCAGTGGACAGAAATTAAACGCCTCCTGGTGGTCGGCAAATTTTAGCCTAAAAATGATTTATTTTTTTACACATGCTCTACCACTGAGCTAACAAATGGCTTCACTTTTTCCTGACTAAGTAATAAAAATGCCTTGAAAACGTCTACAGGCCTTTCAGCGTCAGGTCCACGAGCGTCTGACTCAGCTGGAACTGGTCAACAAACAGTACCGGCGCCTAGCCCGGGAGAACAGAACCGATGCTGCCAACAAACTGAAGGTGATGGTGGAGAAGGGAAATCAGAGGTGGGACGTCCTCCAGAGGAGGGTGACGGCCGTGCTGAGGAGACTGAAGGTGAGGTCAGGGGTGAGGTGGGCTTCATCACAGGACCGGTCTGCTCCCATTTTAAAAGGAAGTTTTGCCTCAAATTGTGAGAAGGGAGCTCTGAGTCAATTTTTAAAACCAGACTAGAATTTTAATAATTATGGGAAGTTATGAAAGGATGAAGATAAATCCAGTTTTCCCTGTCATTGTTTTCACTGAGGTTTTTCCACTGCCTGTGACATTTAAGAAAAGGAACAAGAAAATGTCAGAGTAAAATCTAACTAGTAAAAATAACGGGTATTCCACTTGGATTTCCTAATGAACCAAAAATAATACATATGCAAATGTTATATATATATATATATATTTATAGGCACAATGATATTATTTTTATGTGATTCAGTTGAAAAATAAAAAAAGTTCTAGCTTTATTACAGACAAACATTCTAGAACATTAGACTCATTAGAACATTATTAGTTCTGTTCACCTTCAGAAACGACTCACTCACACCAGTCCATTAAAACATGATTGATAATCACACAGTGACA